AAAGAATTGAAAACAATTGAAAATCTAGTAATAAATTAGCTTTAGAAAATAGAGTAGAAAAGAAAAGAATAGAATAGAAAAGAAAAGAGAAAAGAAAAGAGAAAAGAAAGAAGAAAAGAAAAAAGATTAGTGAAAGGATCTAAAAATAGATGCGTAAAAGCTGTAGAGCTTTAATGCGGCATTTTTCTAAACCAAGAAATAAGCGAATTAACCGGAATTTGGAAAGAAATGTCATCAGATTCGATGCTTTTTTTTTGATGATCTGAACCAAATGATTTTCATCAATGATTTCAGTAAATGAAAGAACTTGGACTCATTTATTGGCTTTCCTTTTATCATTTTCAATTTAAACTCGATTCTAATAGAGAATCGAATCAAAAATGAATAAAAATCGAAATCAATCCACCACAATCATTTCTTGTTTTCTATTTTGCACTTTAAAAAAAAAAGCTTTGGAAATTTCAAAATTTCCGACTACAGTAAGCTGAAAAGAAGGGAGAAAATTGGGCCAATAGGCGATCGTCTTTTCCGAAATTCTCACTCAATTCTCTTTTTTTTTGCAAAAGAAAAGAAAACCCATGAAATTCCATCGAAAAAAAAAGAGATTTCTTTTAAAAATTAGCTTCGTTTCTTTTTTTAAGGAAAATGTAAAATAAACCTGAAATCGAGAGCTTCCTAATTAGAAAAAAGTAAAGAAGTTTCTGATCTAGTTTATTGGTTTAATCTTTTTTTTGGTTTGTTTTGGTTTGTTTAAGGTTTTTTGAACTTTAGTTCAATTCAAGTAGTCTTTAAAATCCTTTTTTGATCAAAAGATCACCTTTTGTCTATTGGTTTCCTTGTCTACTGTCTACTTGTTTCCAAGAATCTCAACCCTTCCCCAACTCTAGTAACCATTTTATCAATGTTCTTTTTGCTTTTGTCAATGACCGATTGCTAGCTGTAGGTGTTAAAGTTTGAATGCTAGTCGATCTTCCATGCTAGTCGATCGATCTTCTATGCTAGTCGATCTTTTTCCACTCTATTGTTAAAGGTTCTAATTTCCAAGAAGTTTCCAATCCATTTTCCATCCATTTTTTTTGCAAATTCTTCTAAATACTCATCATATTGCTCATGCAGTTGAGATTAGAATTTTTAGCCGAAAATCTGGATTCACTGCGGCAAAAACATAGGATTATTATGTTGCTTGAATGGGGGAAAACTAGAAACGAAATGTGGCAAAAATTCGAAGAGTAAACCAGAATCTCGTGATGGGATTCGCTCTGCAGCTGAATATCTTTTTTCTTTTTTGCTTTCTCTTCAATTGAATATCTTTTTCCATTGTTTTTGCGAAAGAATGCAGATTCAATTCTTTTAACTGTAAATTTGATTTGATTCTCGTTCACTTTGATGGTCTCGCAAGGCGTCTGGCTCAAAAAAGTCGATTGACCGTGAACGGACTCGAACCAGGGACGCGGCTAGGAGGCCGCGGCTGCCAGCCGAGCACGCTACCGCCTGCGCTATCCGGTCGCTGTTTGGAGGGGGGGTAATTCTCGGCTATACCGCGGCGGCTTCAAAAAATTTCCAAACTTTGAAGGGTTTTTTCTCGAATATAGAATAGAGTAGAATAGAAAATGATCGATTTCTATTATAGAATAGATATTTTAAAAAAACATATCTTTTAGAATGTCAAAAGGATATTTTTGCATTAGATTTCATATCTTAAATCGATGCTGATAGGGAAAAGCGTCATCAACTAGGTTACCAGTGTTATAAAGCTCTTTGAGAGCTCAATTTTCATTACTCTTTTACATAATAACATACCCAGTACTATTACTGACAGTTCTTTAACACTTTTGAACATTTAAAAAACCTAAAGAAACTAGATGAGATGGGGAAAAGTCATAGCCTGAGGGGGACGAGATTTCGAAAAAGAGAACGCCATTGGCATCAGGAAAACCGGATTTTGATATAAAATATTCAGAGAAAAGGATGAAAATGGGGGAAATCTCTTTTGAAAAAGAGAAAATCCATTGTATTTTTCATTCTTTTTCTCTGTTTATTCTTTCTTTTCTCTTTCTTTTCTCTTTCTTTTCTCTTTCTCTTCTCTTTCTCTTCTCTTTCTCTCTCCGTTCAAAGCAATTGACAATTGCTAGAGGCAAAAAGCCGGTTCTTTTCCGAAAAAAAAACTTGTGAAAAGTTCTTTTTTTTCCCTTCTAGCTAGATTTTTGATTGGATTTCGATAATCGTTTTTTAGTTTTTTATTTTGGAATCGAGGAATTTTGTATTTTAAAGCTTTAACTTTAACTGGCTTGTCTTTAACTGGCTTTAACTAAAGCTTAAACTTTAACTGGCTTGTCGCAAACTAAAACTTTAACTTTAACTAGCTTGTCTCAAACTAAAACTTTAACTTTAACTAGCTTGTCTCAAACTAGAGCTTAAACTTTAACTGCCTTGTCTCAAACTAAAGCTTAAACTTTAACTGGGTTATCCCAAGCTAAAGCTAACTGGTTTGTCTCAAAGCTCAGCTTTCTTAGCTTGTAGTTTCTATCTCAAATCAGCTTTCATATCTCAAATCTTACCTCATTTCATATCTCAATATCTCAACATCTCAACATCTCAATCAGCTTTCATATGTTGTAGTTTCATATTTCTAAAGCTTTTTCTTATCTACAGCTTTTGATGAATCACTTCATCAAAAAATCAAAAATTCTTATTTTTTTTATTTTAATTTCTTATATTTTAGCTTTTAAGTATGAGTTAAAGTTGAAAAAATTTTCAATTCGCTTTTTGAAATGAGATTTATGTGTGGATTACCCATTCTACCGTGAACCACACCTTGAAGGGTTAATTGGAGAATCGGGAATACAGGAATACGGGAATATCTCTAATCCTCGAGAAAATATTTCTCATATTTACTTTTTTATAAATCTACTTTCCGAGTAAACCGGATAATTTTCTTGTTAGGCTAACTTTTGGTTGCTTGATTGTTTACAATCTTTGTCCCACAGCTTACTGTAGATCTCAATAGATTACCATTTGCTATAATGTAATGCAAAAGGGAGACTTCTTTTGTAAATAAGTTTATTTAAGTCTCTGATATGCAAATTTTCTGGATCTTCTCTTGTATTCGTCTAGATCAAGGTCCAGATTTTGATTCTAGTTTATATGTCTAGAGATATGTCTAGAGACATAGACCTAAACTTTAGCCCAGGCCTAGGTACAGATCTGGCTCAGATTGGCTCAGATTTAGATCCTGGTCCTCTGATCCACCTCTAACTGAACTAGAACTAGAATCAGGTCTAGATCTAGGCTTAGACTGATTCTGATCGAGAAGGAAAACACTTTCTAGACAGCCTAATATGTCTGACTTTTAGGTCCAGATCCTGCGCTTATTCTTCGTTTTAGTCCAAGTACCAATCTAAGTCTAAATCCTGGTCCAAGTCTTAGCCCAAGTCTTAGCCCAAGCCTTGATCCAAGTCTAGAACTAGTTCCATGTTTTGGTAGAAATCTAGGCCCTGGTCCCAGAGCCCAGCTCTGATATCAATCTAGATCTAGATCTTGTTCCAGGCTTAAGCCCAGAGCTAGATTCAAGCTTAGGTTCAAGCCGAAGCTTCTTACAGATCAACAACTCAGTGAATGTTAGTTATTTGGTAGTGAAAATGATTATACAAGATGTTATTAGTGGATAGTGCTCTCCTAGCTGATGCCTAGACAATCACCGATTCATTTCACTTCAAAACAAATATTATTGAAAAAGTGATTGTTGAAAAGATTTTATTATATTCGAGGTAATTCAAAGATTTTCATAAAATTCAAAAGATTTCTCTAATCCGGGGTATTCTGACGGAGTTTCGGACTTTAAAAATGTACAATTTCTACCAAAAGATTTCAAGAAAATCAAGTTATTCACTTCTTTTTCGATTTTTTTAAATTTCTACGGAAGAGCTTTTCTATTTTCTTCAATTTTTCTTCAAAAAAAAATCCATTTTTGACATTTTCATGCTAAAATCTCAAATTTCTATTAAAAATTTGATGAATTTCAAATATTTTCATATATTTTCACGGAATTTGAAGAGAAATAAATCAAATCCTCCACGTGGTTTTTCGAGAAAAACGATTATATTGAGATAAAAACGATTATATCGATAAAAATATTAAAGGAAAAGAAGTGAATGGATTAGTGGCAAGAAAATCATCAAAATCTTTAAATCCTCTTTTTCTTTTTCTTTTTTTTTTAAACAGCTACGTAGCGTCTTTTTAGTCAAAAAAAATAAAAATCTTAAGTTATTCAGCCGTTTTCAAATCCGCTTTTGCACAAGATCTAGATCTAAAGACTTATCTGAAAAGAAAAATCTCGGGATTTTCATTTGATCGGCTTTACTTTAACAAATAGCACAAAATCTTTCCTCCTGTACTTGTAAACTATGTACAATTGAGAAATAGGGATATTTTGATATTGATTGGATGATCTAAAGTGTATCTGCTAAAGAATAACTCTTTGATACACAGTCACAGTACGCTAGAGTACTCTACAGTATGCTAGAGTACTCTACAGTATGCTAGAGTACTCTACAGTACGCTAGTGTACTCTACAGTAATCTTTAATCTTTAGATAAGCGGTATCTACAGTGCTAGCTCATTACCAATCTTTAGATTTCGATAGCATAGGTACTGAGTCGATGAATTTGATCCTAGTTTGATCCTAAAAAATCCCTTTGACTTCACAAAGAGTGATTGATTCTCACTGTTCAATAGCCCATTCTTTTTCGTGTTTTTCGAAAGTGTTCTCGAGTTTTTTTCTTTGCTTGCTCCCGGCGATACGAGCTGCTGTTCAAAATCGGTGGTCCATTTAATCGAAAACCTTTTCGCAAAAGGGGAAAAGGAGGAAAAGAGTGTTCCGTTGCGGTGATTGATCACACCAAATTCGACAGCAAAAGTTCCGAATTTTTTGGCGAAAAGTTTAGGAAAAAAAAAGCTTGGCTTTGTGAAAGGAGGATTAGTACAAGGAAGACTTTTGGTGGATGGAGCTAGGAATTGGGTGGATCTGGGAATTGGGTGGAGTGGAGAGTGTAAGGCTAACAATTCTCTAGATAATTTTTCAAAGTTTAGCACCTAGTCATCGTAGTTTACAGTGTATAATTCAAAGTGTTCGAGCTACGGTAATCCAAAGATACTGTAGCCTAAAAGGTATCGTAATCCAAAGATATTGTAGTTCAGAAGGTACCGTAATCTGTAGCCAAAAAGTACCGTAATCTGTAGTCAGAAAGTACAGTAATCTGTAGCCAAAAAGATACCGTAACCCAGAGGTACTGCAACTCAAAAAATACCGTAATTTGTAGTCCAAAAAGTACCATAATCCAAAGGTACTTTAGCCCAAAAAGCACCGTAATCTGCAGCCCAAAAAGTACCGTAATCTGTAGCCAAAAAGTACCGTAATCTGTAGTCAAAATGTACCATAATCCAATGGTACTTTAGCCTAAAAGGTACCGTAATCTGCAGCCCAAAAAGTACCGTAATCCAAATATACTGAGCTTTCCTGGTTGTGAGCAAAGTTAGTTGGAATACCAAGCCAGAATATCTTGACTCAATTTCTATTTCGCACTAACTTTACATATAATCTGGACATCCAAAGAATACGGTAGATCGGTCACATTATCACCATTCTTACCGGCCAAAGAGTACGGTAGAGTACGGTAGATCTCACTTTGTTTTCCTAAACCTTCACCCGATTGAAGCTTTTTACTGCCAAATCACAAGTAGCCAAAGAAAAAGGTTTCAAAGATTTCCGGGCGAAACATCAAGCACAGTTGTTCAAGTTGAAATTTTCACCCGAAACCCGAACACAAAACAATCGGTCGAAGTTGAGGGAAGTGTTGGCCACTTTTTACCCACTTTTTAGCCATTCTTTAGCCACTTTTTGGCCACTCTTTAGCCTCTTTTCACCCCAATCATTGTCCCAAAAAAACGCTTTTGATTGAACGTCTGTTTGAAGAAAATGAAGAGAAAAAGTTTCCAAACTTTGGCTATAGTTCTTTTCTTTCAGATTTGTGTTTTGATCAGTTGATGATCAAAATCTAATTAAGAAATCAGTTTGATCAGCTTTTTTTGATTCTTTTAGTTATAACCAAGTGGTAGAATGGAAGTGGATCCATTCTTGGCGTTGATTTCGATCTAATCTAATTAAGAAATCAGTTTGATCTGATTCTTTTAGTTATAACCAAGTGATAGAATAGAAGAGACTCCATTCTTGGAATTGATTTGGATGCTTAGCTTAGCGATTCGTCAGATGAGAATGCATTTGCAAGAACTCATTGACTTCACTTACAAGTGCACTTCAAAGTACAAGATGACTTGTACAAAGTTCATTTCAATGTACAAGTCATCTTGTACTTCAAAGTACTTGTACTTGTACATGTACATCTTGTACATTGAAATGGACTTTGTGCTCAAAAGCTAACTGACTAGCTGACTAAACATACTTTTTCTGGTGCACTAAAAGATCGTTTTCTAAAGAATATCAAGGGAAAAATGATAAAAATGATAAAAATGACTCAAAGTGCGCCAGAAAGAGTACGTTTACCGATTTTAAAGCAAAAAAAATGCACAATTTGCTCAATTTGCTTTCTACTCGAATTTTCACCTTTCTTCTCGTGATTTCATTCGATTGTAGGAAAAGTTTTGATTCCAAAAATTGATGTGAATTTTTGAAAACATTCTTTTCACTCAAAAACCATCTGCCATTTCACAATGAAAATCACTTTAAAATCACCTGTTTCATTTGTGAAAGTGAAAGAAAAAAGCTTTATCTTTTCTATTTCAGGCTTTATTGTAAGTTTTGCTAATCTTCTCTCGTTTTTCTTCAAATCCACCTGCACAGAAAACGGAAATTTCAAACTCGCATCTCAATAACCGATCTCATTTAATGGTCAGATGATTTTGTTCAGTTGGAACTAAGGCAGATAAAAATAAGTCTGCCGCCAGGGACTCGAACCCGCGACCCTTCGCTTACCAGCCAACTGTGCTAACCATTACACCAGAACGCACCTGACCTCCCCGCCTCCAGAGGGGGTTAAGATAAAAAATATGGAAAATTTCTGAAAAAATTCAAATTCTCCCGACCTTTACTCGGTTGAAGTTTTTAAAGTCGAAATTTGTGATCCTACTCGGGCGACCGTTTGGTTAAGTGGTAGTGTGCGCGGTTTACAAGCGAGCGATCCCCCGTTCGAGTTCGCTGACGGTTTTTTATTGATATTTTCTTCTATTTCTATTAACGATCTTCTTTTATCCTCAGAAATTTGAGTACCAAATTGATTGATCTCAAAATAAATATCAAATATCAAAATCAAAAATATTTGATTTGATTGATCTCAAAAGTATCAGCTTTACCTAAGCTATTTGAGAGTTTTTGAATTTCCTGGCTAACTGGCTTTCTGGCTTAACTATCGTTCTTCATTAAACTGAAAGAACTCAAAGATTCTCTCATTAAACACTTTTGATCTAGTCTTTAGATTTTAATGCTTCTATTCAACTGATAAATCCAATTGATTGATCCAATTTTTATTGATAATAACTTTCTTTATTGAATCAGTTCCGTTTTTATTTACTTTCTAAGTTTAGAAATGAAAGAAAGTTGATGAAATCACAGGCTAATGCCGGCTCAAAGGCTTTTTTCTTCGGCTAAATTTGATTACGAAACTTATCGCAAACTAGTTTAAGTGGTAGTGTGATTCTTTTCGAATCGAAATTTCCTCCAGTTCAATTCCTGAACTCAATTTTCCTTGTAAATGCTGTAAAAGACACGGATTTTCTTGGATTTTCTTGGATTCCCCTCACTATAATCCTAGAATTTATTATTCCAGAGCAAAAAAAAAAAGCTTTTCCCAGATTCCAGAACAAAAAAAAGCTTTTTCTAGATGCCAGAACTTTAAAGAAATCAAATATTTAAATGTTTAAAAAGGAAAAAAGCAAAAAAAGGAAAAATTGCTTTAATTTTGTACGATTTTGTAGTTTTTTTCTTAAAGTGCAAAGTATCGTGCGTTTTTTTGAGAGATTTCTCGCGTAAATTTCATTATAATGCACCTGTTTTCTTTGAATTTCAATAAATTTGGCCAAAAAAAAGCTTTGTCATTTTGTGAGAAAAGCTGATCGTTAATCGGCTACGGGAGCTTCGTTTGAAGATTGTTTTTTTTCAATTTTTGTACTTTTACGATAGCCCACTACTGTACGGTATTCTTTTTTAAAAGTCTTTTAAACTTCTGGACTTTTAAACAGTCAACATTTCAACCATATGCACATTTAAAACAAGTAACGGTACTTTTAGCTAACTTAATTCAACAATTTTCTTACAACTACACGGATTACGCTAGTTCTAATACCGCTATTTCTTACAAAAGCGGGTAAGGATGCGCGTACCCGCGGCGCCCTTTCTTTCTGCAGCTCAATCGTGCTATAGGCTGGAAAATGGCCAAAAATCTGTTAGCTCCTGTGGTATTTTTGGCCATTTCCAGCTCTACATGTAATAGAGAAAGAAACGGTAGCCTTACCCGGTCTTCTATTCGAAAATACGCTAGTTGAAACTTTCCAAGCTCAATTTCCAATTTCTTAATCTCTTTTTCTGCAACTTTGAATGTAAATACTTTTCGATAACGAATACAGTAGTATTTCCCTAAAAGTATTTCCCTTGGTGCCTCGTTTACATTCTTTACCAAAAAAAATTATTATCCATTGATTTCCAATTGTTTTAATTCAAAAAATGCCCATGATTTCCCGGAAAACATTTCCGGAATACAAATAAAGCAAATTTCCCAAATATCCTCATTTTTGTCATTTTTCAGAAGGAATTCTGCAACAAGTACTACCTGGCGACGCACCGCGCCGCGAAGCACACATTTGGTGAGAGGACTTGAGATTTTAAGCCTTTAGCTGAGTATCTTTAACATCTTTAACATCTTTGACATCGTTAACATCTTTAACATCTTTATCATCTTTAACATCTTTAACATCTTTATCATCATTAACATCTTTAACATCTTTAACATCGTTAACATCTTTAACATCTTTATCATCGTTAACATCGTTAACATCTTTAACATCTTTATCATCGTTAACATCATTAACATCTTTAAGATATTCAACTGATTATCTTGGGGCAATTAAAGCTATTCAATCAATCATTATGAAATTTTTGATGACAATTAAGAAATTGAATGCTGAAATGCGTTTGGCAAGTCAATTACGGGAAATCTGCAGGAATATTTGCGAATTTCAAATAAAATTTACTTTTTCTCTTTTTTTTGCGACTAGATTTTGAGATTTTGGATCTATTTTATAGTTTTTTTTGATTAGATCTTGAAGATATTTGGCTAATAGATGTTTATATCGATTTTTAGCTATTTTATATCGATTTTTAGCTATTTTTTATAGATTTTTACAGTTTTTTATTAGATCTTGATGATTTTTAGCTAATATGTACTTATTAGCGTAAACTAGACTTGCTTATCAACGAAATTAGTGTCAAATAACTCGACTGGACATATTTCTTGTGATTTTTTGCTGTTTTCTATCGTAATTCGTTTCCTATTCTGCACTGACTTTTAGCGATTAGTGGATTTTGTTTAATAAACATTCATTTTTAGTGGCGGCGCGTGTGGGTGACGGTCACTCATCATTCGGAATGCTCCAATCGCATCTACCCGACTTTGCTGGACTTCGCGCCGATATGGCTAATGGTTGGGAATTTTATTTGAATACCTTAGAAATCCATAACAAGACGGCACTAACTTGTTATTATCTATTTTTATATAAAAGTAAACTAAAGCTGAACTTTAAAGTCAGTTTGAGCATAGTAGACCACTATTTTTGGTGATAGCTGTTCTAAAGCTTTCAGAAAATTCAGGTAGAGCAAGAAAATACAATCTAAAACTTTAAAAAAAACTGATATTATGTTTTTATTGTTGTTATTATTGTTGAAAACATTTTTCTTTTAGCATCGAATGCTTCCGGAAACGCACAAACGCAACTCGATTTGAATCAACTCGTTTTGGCAAGCTTGGATCCGGTAAAATTTTTGTATTTTAGCAAGCAAATGTTGGTAAAGAAAGTTTCTAGCTTACAAGGAAATAGTCTCGGCTCGAAATTGAGAATCGATTGAATGAAAAAGTGCTTCTTATAGAATCGGCTATGCTGATTCTGAATCTGCAAAAATTAGCTGCAAAAAACCTCGCAAACTCGCACGCAAGCACGAGAAATCTGCCATAGAAAATTTGGTAGAAAATACATTTCGGACTCTTTATGGAACCGCCGGAACTGCCACAAAGAAACCTTCCAACGGTTTCGATGGTCTAGCGGATAGTGTGCTGGTCTAGAGAACCTGTGGCGGTTCTTGGCTTGGGTTCGAATCCTCTCCTAATCAATTTTCTTCCTTTCTTCGTCCAGTCGATTTTCAACTTCGAGCTCTCAACCATTGTTAGGATAGACATCCTAGCTTTTCTTTGCCCAATTGACAAGTCTATCAGCCATAATTCCAGAGCACACTGGCCAACAATCCACTCCGCTCGCTCTACATGAGTCAATTGGCGCAAATCTCCGGCGGCAGTCCATCGCCAGCCAGCTCAGCGCCAAGTTCGGCTTCAGAGGTGGGGATTTTTGAGTAAAAATGTTAAAAAGGTTTCAAAGTAAAGGCTCAAAAGGATGTACATGAATGCAAATGTTTTGGCTATTCATCAAAAGTTTGCGTCCAGATTACCAAAGATTTTTCTAATCCCTGGCCAGGTCATTTCCTCTTTTTTTTCTCAAATCCAAAAAATTTCTCCAACTTTTTTCCCTTTCTTTCAACTCCTAATCCAAAGTTGTGTTCAGGATTCTCTTGTTTTATCGAAAATTTTCCCCGAAAAACAAAGTGGCTTAAGCCAAATCTCCTTTTATTTCGTACATTTTTCGGAGCGTGAAATTTCTCAAAAAGATTTCAAAAATTTGCAACTAAATCCCTCAAAAATACTTAAAGTTTCTTGTAAGCTGCCCGAGAGAAAAGATTTTATGAAAACTATTTGATTAGGAGAAGTAAAATTTAATCCTTCCTGAGGTTCCATCCAGAATTCTCCTCTCGAGATTTTAAATGATAGTCACGCTTTGAAGGCTTATAACTTTGCCTAGAAATTTACTTTTCTTAACTTTTTATATCATTGTATAGAGGACAGTTCAGGCTTTCAAATGATCCCAAATAGAGCTTGATTGGACTAGGGAATCTTGAGAAAACAGCCGCGCAACTGAATCGAGCAACCGGGTTAGTCGAGAAGTTGAGCATTTACCGGTGAGCAAGGAGAACACCCAGTTCAATTGTGCTCTGTACTATCCGTAAACGCTTGGCTTCTGGCGCACCGAGCCGGTTGCTGGGTTCAGTTACGCATTTTCCTATAGCTAAAAATCGATATTCTAACCGAAAACTTTCACCAAAACGGAAAGTACGGTATTTTCTTGGATTACTTAACTCTGGGTGCTTTCAATTTTCTACGAAAGCTACTTTTTCAGGAAAAAATATACTTGATCTACTTATCGGCCAGTTCAAATCTCGGATTTGGAAAATATTAGAAATCTTCTTGAGCATATAGTCGCAAAATGAGCCTTGGTTCAACTCTTCATAAAATTAACTCCTCTACTATTTTTGAAAAAACTATCAAAGATATCAATCTATCACTTTTTGTGCTGTTGATTCGATAGGTATTTCCACAAAAAGCTTCGCGTCCATCTAACTGAGAAAACCATTCAGTTTCAACTTTATCACCAGAGTTGACAAATTAATTGTAAAATTGAGCCAAAGCCAAGCAAACAACTTTTGCTCGGTTTCCCGTAAACCGCCAAGCCAAATCAAAGCCAAGATTTTCGACCAAACCAAAGCCAAGATTTTAGGCCAAATCCAACGGTGGGATTGAAATTCCAAGCCAATCAAGGCTTGACTTGGTTAGTGACTTTTTGCCAACCCTGGCTAAGACCAGGCTTTGAACTTGATTCATGCCATAGCTAGAAGTGTTGCATCAATGACCTTTGTTAGTTTTGAGGACAAGACTCAGTGTTGGCAAAAGAGTCAAAAGATCCAGGCGAAGTCAAAGCCAAGCTTTATGCTAAGGCAAGTTTTTAGTTCAATCCAACGATGAGGTTGACCAGGTCAAGGCCAACCAAGCCTTCATTTTTTACTTGGAAGCTAGCCTTGGCTTTTCGCCAACCCTGATTGACTACCACAGCGGAAACCTAAAAAATATGACTTCTAGAGCTGACGATAGCCTTTCAAAGCTTACGATAAGTCTATTTGTATATTTTTTTCTCTAAATTCAACCCCAGAAATCATCTCCAAATTTTCGCCATAAATCACATGTATCTATGCGCGAATTTCCCCTTTTTTCAAATCTCCGCCTTTATTTTGAGATATCTTTTTCATCTCGTTTTCCTTTTTTTTGCAAACTTCACTCCTTAAATGATCGAAAAAAAAGAAGCCCGGTTCGTTTTCTGAAAAAAAAGGAATTGAAAGTTGAAATAGCGGGGGGAAAAGGTGACAAAAACGACTGGAAAAATTGAATTTCGAAAAATAAACGGTTTTTTTCTTTTTTTCGCCTAAACCATCCCATTTTTCTTTCACGGGTGATAACCGTATCTCCTATTGGCTCGTTTTCCAGAGCTTGCGATTTAAATCTTTCCAAATCTTTCTTATAGTGAGATTCTTCTCTTTATTATAGGGACATTAACATTGTCAGATTATCAGATTAGATCAAGTCTTTTTGGTCTTATAGTCAGCAAACAGTTATTTAATTTTTTAATCAGATCTCATCACTTCAAGATTTTCGATTGGGTAACTGAAACGAGCAAGTGGTAACGATTGATTGGGTAACTGAACCGGATCGATTACCCGGTTCAGTTACTCAATCAGTTGTTTTCTCAAGATTCCCTAGTCCAATCAAGCTCTTTTTGGTATCATTCGAAAGCCTGAAATGTCCTTTATGCAATGATATAAAAAGTTAAAAATATTATGATATTTGAGTGAAAGATTTGGGCCTTTAAAGTAAATCACTCATTCAAAAACGGCCGAATTCTGAGTAAGAGCTGAAAATTTCCAAAATTTTCACAAAATTGCCTCTTTTCTCACGAATTTGTGATTGTTCGCTCATCAATTTCCTTTCTTTTCCATCATTTTTCGCAAACCGCATTTGGTTGACCTGGATTGACTGGAAATGACCGGATTTTCTCAGCTCGGCTCATAACGTTTTCCCCATATTTGGATTTCAAAAACGATTGAAGATTGAAAGAAAATTGGTGAAAATGAAAACTGAATCCTTTTCAGAGTCAACCGACAACCACTCATCCAACTTCTCACGGAGACGCCACCCCGCCGGCCACCGAGAGTGCCCAAGCGAGTGCCCAGTCGGCACCACAAATGCCCAATTGGTTTCAACAGGCATTGCTACCACAACAAGCCGCACTAGCTGGGTGAGTTTGATTCTTGAGCAATTGATCTTGATTCTTGCTTGACAACTTTCTCTATTCCAGATTGCCAGCGGGAATGTCAACACTTCTCGAGCAGATGAGCGGCGGTCTGCCGGGACTCAACCCAATGGCTTTAGCTGCTGCACTCGCCGGTGGAGCACCTCCAATGACTCCAAACACTGCTGCGAGTCTTTTCGGACAAATGGCCACTTCACCACAGAAGGTATTTTAGTGTTGTGAACCTTGATAAGCCTTTCTTCTAGGAAGCAATGTGCACAATTTGCGACAAATCTTTCTGTAATCGTTTCTTTTTGAAGACACACATGGAGAAGAAGCACGGACTGATCCTCGACGAAACCAGCAGCCCACAAAAGACGACCAGCCCGCTATCTGGTAAAATATATTTTAAAGACTAAGTAAATCTGTGAATACTAGAGGGAACTGTAGGATAGAATCGAGACCTTTCTAGGGACTGTAGGATGCAAAAAGGCTCCCAAATCTTTTAAGATAGAATCGGATGAAGGAATCCTTTACCCAATCTCCATTTCAGGCTCGGCTTTCCCATTTCTTCCTCCATCGACTTCAGCTGGAATGCCCACTCAATCAGTGATTGTTAATGGAAACGAAGAGGGAACTCCGAGGAAACTCGATCGAATGGAAACCGATGAGGACGAGGCGGAAGCGGCTCACAAGTCAGTTTTATAGATCATTATCAAGAGCATTATCAAAATTGGGTTTTTTTGTTCAAAGTACAAATTTAGATCTTCTGTCGACTTCTTGTTAGCCTCAATGCGCGGGACTTTATCGAGTTGTGACGAGTGTGGCCGTGACTTCCCGACAGTTTTCGAAATGATCGCCCACAAAGCTCGAGAGCATCCAAATGAGTGAGTGATCGGGAATTCCAATCATTGTTGCCTAGTTTCAAACTAAAATTAGAAAAGAATTCGAATGAATTTTTGTAAGCTTTCAGTCTAATCTAATGTACTAATTATTCTAATAGAAGCACCCCCATAATGACGGGGTATTGCCGCGTAGTCTAACTTGACACGCTCCGTTTTCCGCGCTGCTTTATGCTACAATGTGCGCTTGGGTGTGAAACGATAGCCCTTTTAATCTAGTATTTTTGATACCAAAAACATAATTGAGAAAAAATGACTTTATAAAACGTCGGTAGACTACGCGACTGTACGGGAGGGTGGGGGTGCTTCTATTAGAATAAGAATAATTACGGTAATCGATTTCATTTCAAATTTCTAATCTTTTTCCGTTTTAGCAAGGAGAACCCATTTATACGGTGCGGTGAGTGCAGTGAGATGTTCGATTCAGCCGAAGCATTGCAACAACATGCCACCATTGCACATACAGGTAAACCGGCAACCCTTTACTAATTTTGTTATATACGTAGGACTGCTGTAATGGTATAGGATTGCTATTTCAGATGTGACAGTTAGCAATTTATTGAACAAAATAGAAATCAATAGCACAGAGGAAGAAGAAAAATTGAAAATGAGCAAATATGAGTCTGACGACTACGCGTCACTCTAGTTGACGTGTATAAAAGACAAGACGAAATTTAGTGCAAAATAGAAAACAGTTTGTGAAAATCTCTTTCAAACAGATTCAAAATTCAAAACGAAAAGCTTATTCCTGATTCAAATTCGTGTTTTAGGAATTACAAGGCAACTCTTATCCGGCCTTCTCCCGCCCGGCTTTCCCTCACTTCCATTTCTCCTTCCGCAAGGAATGCCTCCACAATTCGCCGGACTTGATGCTCTCGATCCCACCAATCTAGCCATGTTACAGCAAGGGGTCAGCCCGGTATGTTTCATTATCTAATTACATTTGAACCATTATTTTCTACAGCCGAAATCGAGTGCTGGTAGTGCACAAAAGAGAACCTATGCGAGCAATGGGAAAAACTACTGTGATCTCTGCAATAAGGAGGTGATAAAGTGAAATGATTTGTTTTTTATCGTTTTTTTAGGTTTGCAACAAGTACTTCCTTCGCACGCACATGTTGAAAATGCACGGAATCGTAATTGACGAGAACAAGCTCGTGATATCGAACATCGACACCGTCGAGAAGGAGCGAATGGGCGGAATCACATTCAGGTAAGCGACTTTCAATCGGTCTGAGCCTTGGACAATAGAGTTGTTTATTTTTGATCCGTTTGTCAAAAGGTGTATAACGAAAAAACGAGATTTGACCACTTCAACGGTTACTTTTTCAAGGATTCTTTAAGATCGAAAGATAGAGCTTGGAAAATTCAGCAAGAGATTCTAAAAACGTTGTCGTTGAAGTGGTAAAATCTCGTTCTTCTATGGATTAGGCGTATTAGGCTGTCCAGAAAGTCTTTTCAGAAAGAGCAACAATTAAAAGATATTTAGTTGAAGCATTGAATATCTTTTTGACAATTAATTGAATTTTATTCGATTGGTGAATAAGTCTTTATGTTTCTTTTCGTATTTCCTTTGAAAAATAACAAATTCACCAATTAACCTATGTTCAATTGGTGCATTTGTTGGTTTTAAACGAAAGTACGAAAAGGAACGAAAAGGTTTTCTAAAAACCTAATGCACTTGTTCACAATTACGCCGAAAATGAATAGCCCTAGTCGAAACCCTAGTAAAAACAAATGCAAATCGAATCCTATTCCTCATTACCACTTTAGATGTGACATTTGCCTGGTGGAGCTGAAATCCCGGCAACTCCTTCGGCAGCACAAACAGGAAACCCACGGTGTGGCGCCTCTATCGACTCCTCAGCGCCCCATCAAACCGCCACAACCAACCACTCCCACTCTCTCGACTCCAACACTCACTCTCAATGGTAAGTCATCAAGTATAGCTCAATTTTTGCTTTCTTTAGATAGGATTAGATGAGATTTCGAAATACCTACTTAATCTAATCTCTTTCTTTTTTCAGAAATTTCTGAAAAAATGCAAATCAATTCCTCGAAATTGCTTGAAATTTCCCGGGGATTTGCGCAAATTTCTTTTTCTTTATCTAGGATTTTCGAAATCTCAGCAAATTTATTTGTGAAAGAGAGTTAATTTCTGGTGATAAATGTTAGGATTTAGGTACACCCTCATTTTTGAGCGAGGCTCTCTTCGAGAAGTGCGTGATTTGCGAGAAACGCGTTCACCCGGCGACTCTCTCACAACATATGGCAAACGAGCATCCCGCCGATCTTCCAGCTCACATACTGGCTCAGTTGAAGGTTTGTTTTGAGATTCAATTTGTAATTTATCATAGAAATAAATCAATGCCTTTCATCAATAGCTTTTAATCAATATTTCAACTTTCAGAGCTTCCAACCACAAACACCGGAAATCGTCTCCTGCAGGTATTGCCCAGCGAGATTCAAAGAGGAATCCGAATCCCAGCTACACATGATCACTCAACACGCCGCCGAATTGCTGGCCGCCACTGCTGATGAGCTGAAAAGTCAGTTTTATTTTACAAATTATCATATCAAAGCTTTTAGAAGAAGAAGGCGTAGAACGATGTCCACAGTGCCCGTATCAGACGAAGAACGCTCGAAATTTGGAGATCCACATGGAACGGCATGAGAGACTCAACGAAATCAAAGTAAGCACCTAAGATCAAAGCTGATTTGTTTTCTCCAAAGTGCTCGAGTTACACAAAAATTTTCAGGGTGACGATGACGATGATGCCTTGAAGATCACCCAAGAAGTCGCGCTCAAAATGGCCGAGTTGAACAAGGTTGGATTTGTGCTTGGGAATCCACTTTAGAAATGGCTCTTTGTATTGACATAGCGCTCTATCAAATCGAAATTCTACATTAATCAAAGCTCTTTTCAGTTCACTCAACCCTTCACCTCGGCTTCACTGCCGAAACCCGAACTGAAAGTGAAATGTGACTTTTGCAACCGCATCTACTCGAATCAGGTTTGTTTCTGAGACAATGGCCACATTTATTTCCAATTTTTCAGGATGCGCTAACTCACCACAAGCAGACAATCCATCAATTCCGGACAAAGATGCGCCCGAGCACTCAACGAGCTTTGCGCAAACTCGGAGTTTGCTTTACTTGTGAGTTTTGGAATCTATTTTGTGTAAAAGAGCAGTCTGTACGGGCTTTTTCTCAGCCGTCTTTGGGCCAAAAATATAAAATTTTTTTAAAGTCTTAAAATATAATATGCCATTTAAAATAAAATTTTTAAAAATTAAAATTGAGTAGCACTGCGGGGCTCGAACCCGGGTCCTGTGGGCTGTAGACAAGCGCGCTCTCGACCGCGCCACGGTGGCAACAACATCTGCCCAGAAAAACTCGCCGTTAAGCTGGTCTTTCGGCTGGTGTTAACATAAAGCCAATGGATTCAATTATCTTTTATTTTCAGCTTTAGGCAAGAAAGCCCGTTTCCCATGCCGAAAGTGCTCGAAGCGATGCTGGACACAGGAGGAACACCTCAAGCACTTTGTCACTCATTTGGGTGTATCAAAGCACGAGAAAGTCGAGAAGATCGATGGTGGATCGAGGACAAAAGAAGAGCACACTGTGCCACACGTCGAGGGTCACAGTCATACGGTAATTTGATGTCCTGTCCTCGCAAACTTATCCCTTGATTTCAGTCTGGATCCGTGTCCCCATCTGGAGCCTCGTTGCCTGAGGGTTTTGCTCGGCCGACAGCGCCCGCATCAAATCAATCCTATGTCATGCAATCATTTGTCCTCCGGGAAAACCCCTCCGCCACTTCTGGAGCTTTTCCGAATGAGGTAAATTGACGCTCGTGCCTTAAATTCTTGAAAACCCAAGTAAAACTAATTGTTAAATTCTCAAATTTCAGTTGTTGTGCCATCTCCCCGTGCGAACACCCCTATCGGGCTCATTGTCAGTGACTTTCGACGTGATCCCACACACTTCACAACCCTCACCCACCGGATACCCTATCTAAACTTTTTTCTTTGTTACAATTGTAGGCTGTAATAGTTTTCGCTTAAGAAAACCTACCTGATTTATCTCTCGTAAACGTATGCCAACAAGCGGGTAAAGCTAAACCCCCAGAAAATTTAACCCTGGCATTTTCGTGTTTTGCTGTAAATATTGGTTCTCAATTGATGAATTTTCTTTGATGATTTTTATGTTTCATTGTTTGATTGTGGTTAGTCTCTTTATAACTTGTGGTTTTTGCTATTTTTTGGTTCAAACTATGACATTTCTCTTTAAATTCCTCTCAAATCCTGCTACCCCCATTAAAAGATCTGAACGACGAGCAAATCGTGCTTTCATAAAACTTTCGTTCTCTAAGAAATTCCGCTTTGACTTCTCGAAAAAGAATATTTTAACGTATTGTTTTGCATACGCCGAAAAGTCGAAATATTCTTTTAGTTAATTGATAATACTTATTTTGTTGGTACCTCGTCAATTTGAGATAGTATATCCCGTAATCTTTCTGATAAATATGCATTCGTTTCATACCGTTTTTGTGTGGGCTGTTGCAGATAAATGATAACCAAAATTGAATTTCCCAAAAATTACCCATTTAAGTGTTTAGTGAGATTAGAATATTCACCAGCATCATAGCTTAAGACGAAACGTCTCATTTCCCCTTTCAAAATCGCTCTTAATTGAATTGCCAAGAATTTACACATCTATGGGCCAGTCGAAACCCTATGTGAGATTATTGCTAATGTTTACTTAACAATGCGTTGCTCTATTTATTTTTTCCTAGTGAATTTCACATTTTTGCTAGAATTTTCTCTGATACCACTCTTTTAATTTCACCGCTAATTAATTGCTTATCTATGCGAAAAACTCACTTGGTTTTGAAATAAATAGTACAATCTTTTATATCAAAAACGACAAAATTTTATTATGAAACAAGGAACGAACAATAAAGAAAGAGTGATGCCTCTAAACTAGGTAACAAAAATAATATGGGTAGTGTATATACCACGAGATCGTTGAGGCAACGTATAATTGATTATTGAAACAAAAACATACTTGCAAAACCCGTTTTAAATCGACTAGAGAATGCCTAACAAACACTGAGCAAAAACTGTTAGATCACCTGATTGTTTAAACAAGAGCTTCCGACGACATGAATGTTGCCTTGGTGGGAAGAGGGGGCGCGTTGCCATTTTGATCCAAGCGTCGAGGGCTTTTCTTTGGCTTTCCGTACTCAAAATCTTGCAGGAACGCATCTTCTTCCTGCAATAATAAAAGATAGATTGAGAAATCTGAAAATAGATACCTTGATTGTCTCCAAACGGTCGAATGAATTGTCCAAACCGACTTCAACACCATTGGGCTCGTTAACCACAAAAGTTCCATGGTGGTGCTTTGAAAGATTGTGACCTAAAACTTCAAGATTTGTAAAATTTACAATTAAAGCGGTAATAAGGCTTATTTTTGAACAAAATCATGAACCTAGAAACTATAAGGTGTGCTTAAGAACCATTAAACCCACGATAATAGCGATAAAGCAAGATTGCCATCAAGAGCAGAAGCAGCAGAATCATTGGACTGATGAAATAGAGCAAGTTGAGCGCCTCTTTGTCCTAAAGTGAGCCATTTTCTCAAGAAATAGACGGAAAAATGCCTTGTAGATGTCCGGGGGTGATGAAAGCACTTCCGCTAGCAATGGATCGTCCGTCGGCAATGTAACACCCCTATCAGGCTAAAATTAAAAACATTAAATTCATAGTTTATTTACAAGAGATACCTCGCTTTGAACCGGAGCCAAGCCTCGAACCAATTCCTGAATTTCCGCCTCACTATCAGCTGGTTGGCTGCTGGATGCGCCCATATCTAAAAAGAAACATTACATTAGTAAGTGCAAAACAAAGACTAGTAGAGACAGAAAACAAAAAGAATTTGCCGCCAGCAGGGGTCGAACCTGCGACCTTGGGCTTATTAGACCCACGCTCTAACCAACTGAGCTATGGCGGCACATTGGCAGGAAATGGGCGAGTGTACGCGAGCGAAAGGGAAAATTTTTACGGATAACAGGGGCAAGGACATTCAATGGCACTTTTGCTGTTTCTCGCTTTCAAAAACAAATCGCTGTAGTTTTTTTTGCGAGAATTAACGCAATTTGTCATGAGTTTAAATATGAGTAGCCAATTGAAATTAATTTCTTTAATGGATTAAATCCTCGAGTGAGCTCCTGTGCAAAAATCCGAACGTTTTGCTGTTTTTCTGTGCTTGAAAGCCCAAAATAGTCAAAGATCCAAATGGTAAACAATTTCCGATCTTGGAACTTTGAATCCACGCTTAATCTAATCACTGTTTTTAAAATGCCTATTGTATAAGCATTCCTCAATAATCAAATGTCTGACATCCCTGCCCTTAGAAAATTAAGCTAAAAGCAAAAAGAATTTGCCGCCAGCAGGGGTCGAACCTGCGACCTTGGGCTTATTAGACCCACGCTCTAACCAACTGAGCTATGGCGGCACATTGGGAGAAGGCGGACAAGAGCACACCAGGGAAAGCGACAAAAACCTTTTAGGATGGCCCCACCAATGCTAGAAAAAGAAATTGAAAGGCGAAAAACTTCAATCGTATCGGAGGCAAACAAAATCTTCAAATGGTTTTTCACCAAAATAAACATTTAAAAGCCACCAAGGAAGCTAGACGAGCATCTCCATAGCCAAGAATTTGTAATTTCAAAATTCCTACACTATGCTTTTTTTTATCCTTTTGCTAATACTATGCATTTTGCAGCAAAACGAGGTGAGTCCTGTCCATAAAATGAAACTAATGAACAAATTTGCAAATAAAGAAACATCTAAATCTGAGGATAACTAGCGAAATTTGAGAAGTTTTAGCTCTGACTAATGGGAATCGGGAAAACGCTAGGAAAAGCTCCCAGAAAGGCCAAAAGCACAAGATTTTTTGGGGTAATGAAATTACCGGGAGAAAATTTAAGCGACAAGCAGCGAAGAAGGAAACCTATTGCCATCACCTATATGAAAAACTTTTAACATTTAGTCGTGTCAACCGCTGAAATCAACTCCCACTAAAACTGTTGTGCTTTCCGATCAAAAAATGGAAGTCAAGAAGCAGAACAATCTAAAGACTCACTTAGGATTTCTTGAATTGCCAGAAGGTTTGCTAAAATTATAGAAACAAAATTCGCGCATAACAAATTTTAGGATCCGGCCTAGATTACTCGGATTTTGAGACCGAAATCGTGAACATGATCGACGAGGAAATATTAGCCGTAAAAACAGACCTATCAAAGCAGCTGGCCGCGAAAACAAAGTCAGCCCCGACAGAGAAACAAGATATTGAGACGCACATAACTGAAACTAAGCCTACTGATTTAAGGTTGGTTAAAAAGCTTAAGCAACCTTGAATTATTTTGCGCAAATTTAGGTGCAACTCGAAAGGCTCAATCGTAAAAATCATTACAACATATCGTTGGGATGAAAACGAATTAAAAAACTATCAAGAAGCTTTACAAAAACAAGTCAGTCCCTAAAACCAAATACGTAAGCGTACGCTACTCACAAACTTTAGATGATGTTACTCGACAAATTCAGTGATAGCTGGCTAGAACAAGCAACGATCGCAAAATCAACGCTGTTAGCACCAAAATAACTCTATCACTACTAAATCTAGCAATTTAGTTTTATCCCGCCAGAGCAGAACTCTAAAAATCAAGAGGGCACCTACGGAGAAGTCTACGAAATCCAAAACGAGGCGATATCCTGCGCACAAATTGAGGCTTACATCGAGAAAGCGGTAATGTGGAGTCAACACGTGAGTGCCATTAATCAAAAAGTGGTTCTGAAAAAGTTAAATTGTAAATTCTGCAAGAAAATATTAGTACTACTAAAGATACCACCAAAATAATATGAAGCGGGGAGATAAACAACCGGGAAAATGGGGAGTGGGACAAATGCGGAAAATGGGGAGTGGGACAAACCTTTTTTCGCGTTTTGAAAAAGCTCTAAAAAGCTAATATTAACCAATTTCTATTCCAAAAGTTGTTTTTCTGAGGAATTTTAGGGCGTAGAATCCAAATTTTGACATATCAGAGCTTGTGGAAGCAAATGGACGGAGCTATACATAGGGAAAATCAACAATTTTCAACAAATCAACAATCAACCTACCCGTTTTATCTTCCAAATTGGTTTCACAAGCTCTGATATGTCAAAATTTGGATTCTACGTCCTAAAATCACCTAGAAAAACAACTTTTGGAATAGAAATCGGTTAATACTAGCTTTTTAGAACTTTTTAAAACTCGAAAAAAAGTGCGCAAAAACGCATTTGTCCCACAGCCAGAGAAATGAATGAAATAGTTTTCTGTTCTTTTCATTTATACTCGATGGAGTACGGTAGTTGCAGACGTGCAAAATAGAAAACGCAGTTTGCAAATAAGCTTAGCTTGGGGGTGGGACAAATGCGAGCTTTTTTTTGCGCGCCTGGACATTTGCGCACCTTTTTTTGATGGAAAAGGCCTTAGGAAAGGTCGTAGAGCTTCGAAAATATTTCGAAAATACTTCCATATAAGGGAATCGTATGCGTAGATTCCGAATTTCGACAAATCAGACCTCGCTGACAGGTCAAATTTGGGCTAAAAGGCAAAAACTGCGGAAAAGCGTTAATTTGCGTAGTTTTTGCATTTTAGCCCAAATTTGACGTGTCAGCGAGGTCTGATTTATCGAAATTCTGAATCTACGCATACGATTCCCTTCTATGAAAACATTTTTGAAGATCTACGACCTTTCCTAAGGCCTTTTCCAGCAAAAAAAAGGTGCGCAAATGTCCAGGTGCGCAAAAAAAAGTCACATTTGTCCCACCCCCCTTAGCTTCACTTAAATTTACGTGTATTTTTTTTGTTTTTAGGTGCTCCAATTCTAGTTTTCAAAAATTCTAAGATTCGATTTTTTTTACTGGCAAGGGAATTTGTTTACTAGCAAGGGAGTTTGTTTACTGGCATCATAAGTTATGCGCACTAACCAATGCACTTCTGGTACCCTGTACAGCCTTGTTGTAGTGCTTTTAGTGTGCTACTTTTAATCTTTTCCAGGATAATCGATGCCGCTAAAGCGAACGTTTACAGTTTCAGAGATTTTAAATGCATTTAAATTTGTTACGGTCAATGGGTGATGATCATTTTCAGGTCTCGAAAGCCTATCTGAATTGTCACTGTGAGAAAACGATTGAAGTGTCCAAAATTCAATAAATTTATCGATCTCAATCACCCAAAACTCTCATTTAATTCACAAATTTCGACAATTTCAATTCCAATTTTTCGTTTTTTCGTTTTTTTCGACCAAAGATACAGACGTTTTCACCTGAAAATTGCAATAAGAAAAGAAAAATTGACGAAAAAAAAAGAGGAAAAATTGAAGGTTAGACTTTAAAAGGTAATTACTGAAAAAAAGCGATTTTGCTTGACAAAATAGCTTCAGTTTTGTTGTTCTGCAGTTCTGCAATTCTGCATTTTATTCGTAGTTATCTTGATATCTCAATTTCACACAGCTATAGATCTTTATCAAGAATTTTAAGGTGATTTTTTCAAAAATATGTGTCCCCTTTCTTGACTATCGTAATCTTGTCTCTATTTTGTATCCAATCTACTTTTTGTATCTTTGGCTATTCTTTTGCAAGCCTCACAGAATCAGAACAAATGTGAATAGATTGGACTCTAGGGTTTCTAACAACTAATACCTAACAACTAATACCTAACAACTAGTACCTAACAACTAGTACCTAACAACTAGTACCTAACAAATAATACCTAACAACTAATACCTAACAACTAATACCCAAACAATTCCGTAATATCCTAATCCTCAGCGTAATCTTTAAAAAGGTTCAAGAGGTGATACGTTTTAGAAAGCACTGGGTACAGTTGTTGTAACTTGTACCTATTTGTATCTATTCTCTAGGCACATTTCCCCCAAAAACGGTCGATGAAAGGCATCGCACTGTAACAACAATTCGGCTCATTTCTTAGAATTACTTTTCATAATCACGCATGAAAACAGAAAAGTGATCTCTTCAGAAGCACCTGCTAAAAAGAAAATAGTCTATTGGATAGCTTGAAAAGATCAGAAAATAAATTTTTTAAAAAACTTTCATGTTGTCCACGGATATACCAGTGCCAGGAAGTGGGTCAATAAATAAATCATTTGCATTTTAGATTTTTCAGTGATGTTTTATGATTTATACGATGGTCAATTGACGATTTGGGCACCGATTTTCGCGAATGTCACTTATCTTCAGTATACAAAGGTAAATGATAAATGGGAAATGCATTCGGAGCTTGCGCTGACTAGCTTTAAAGCTACGATAGCTTTGACCAAGCTACTAGCAGTTTGACAAAACGTGAACCTTAAGTAAGGCTCAACTACCGTAGCAAGGCCCAACTACCTGATCTAATCCATATGCCATTTTCAATCCCAAGTTGGTTACAGTAACTTTATGACTATAGTAAAAAATGGCTGCTTAGATCAGGCTGTAATATTAATTGGGTACGGGTTATGGCAACCAATCTATTCACAATCTATTCACCCTCTCAACTTTATCTCTCAGGTTTTCTGGATCGATCAGATCTTTTGGATGATCGAGATCAGTCAACTAGTGATCTCGATTCTTTTCCTCTGGATCTTTCTCATCGAGCTTTGCACGCACGGGATCGTTCACTACAATTTTCTCGTAATTCTCACCACCATCTACGTTATGTATTATATCTCAATGGCGGCTAGGGTGGTCATCTTTTTGATACAATTTGGATATATAGAAGAAAGTTGGTATTTACTATTCGTTGAATGGGTTAAATTGGGATTGGGATTGGGTTGAGATTGGGTAAATGAACGAATGTAGAAAAAAAAATTAAAGAATGGGTGACTTTTTTTTAGCGGGTCCAAGTTTCCCATTGTTTGTGCAAATTGCTGGATTCATCCGTATTCATTTTCTCATGTTTGCCGTCTTCGCCGTTTTCATAGTGATCGTTGAGCGGTGTTTTTCGACTTACTATCTACGGTGAGAATGCTTCGGATAACTGAATATGATATCTATTTAGGGGTTCCGTCAAATTAGCATTTAAACTAATCCACAAAAATTCATTCAGAGACTATGAACAAACGAAGCGAGGCTGGATTTCGTTCATTTTACTATCAAATTCTCTCATTCTGGCCACGATATTTGCATATTTATCTATTTACAGTAAGACTCTAAAGCTTTTTTTTTTGTATGTTACAATTTCAGTTTCTCCATCGAACGTCACAATGACCTTCTTTCCCGTTTTTTTCACACTAATCGCTCTCGTTGGTTTGAGTGTTTCGGTGGGTGTTGACAATGGAAAATGACTACAGAATTTGTTTTTAAATATTTAAAGTGCTCAAAATAAACTGATCCTTTCAGTTATACGCTTTTCTCCATCGGTATAACTATCGATTTCTTCGCGAACTGAATCGCACGTGGCGGTATGATCAATACACATTGAGCACAAGATTTCAAATTGTCGAGAATATGCGAACGTTGAAGGTGAGTGGAGAAACTAGTACAGTAGGCTCAGTTGGACCAGCTGGCTCTTTTATGACTTGAGAATACAAAAGATGATCGGTGCCGGAATTCGAACCCGCGACCTCTCGCTTACCAGGTGAACGCTCCACCAATGAGCTGCACCGACGCATATCCCATTACCATGAGGGTAGGGCTTTATACCTTACTGGCTTACATTACAGTAATTTGGGTGTTATAATAGGTAAACAAACTGCACCAAGGAGCAAGCTATAACCGAAAATTCGAACAAATTCCACCTACAACCAAACCATTTCCAGTTGATCGGCTCATTTTTCCTCTCGTGTTGCATTTTTGTTTTCGTCTGTGCTGTTATCTATTTTTGCTCGGGTTTGGTTCAAGTAAATTGTTCTTTAAAAGGACAAATTCTCTAACTTTCCATTTTCAGGAGTTTTCCAAAGCGAGCAGCCAAACAGCGTGTATCTTTTTAGAGATGAGCTGTGCTTTGTGAGTGTAAAAAAAAAATGTTCTCAAATCTGATCACTGATTCAGATTCATCAATGCTATCACTTGGTACATCTTGAGAGCATTCCCGAAAATCAGAGAATCGCTGAAGGAAAGATTGATGAGAATGTTTCACCTGTCAAGAGGGAATTCGATTGAGGATAAACGAATTGCAAAGGTTAGAAAAAAATTGGAAAAACTTTGGGTGACTTGGCAAATCTCGAAAATCTTTGTTTCTAAAGCTTCAATTTTAGTGGCGAATGTCGGCCGATCAAGAAACCCGCACGTATTTCACTCAACTCGAAACTTCGTGGGGATTAGCAATAAACGAAAAAAATCCATCAACTCAAAAGTCTAGAGAAAGCAAAATATAGTGCCGATATCTACCAGATAAAACCTATACCAATACGGGTATTTTTACTGCATTATCAAGATTTATCTGCAAAATTTAACAAAGACAAACATAGAAAAATTGCAAAACAACAAACTTCAACAAGTTATGAAAAAATAAAATTTACAATAAAGATGAGGTAGATTTACATATTCAGCAAATGAAACAAAAGTTACTTTTGATCATCATGCGAATGATTTTCGTAGACATTCCTCCAGTTAAGAAAAACCTTGTTGAGATAGCCCGCCGTTTCCTTGGAGATTCCAGCTTTTTCAAATAACTAGAACATTTGTTGTTAGCATAAAAAAGTGAATTATACATCTGGCGTGAAGGTTTCACACAAATCTCCCATGGTGCGAATGCCAGCTTCTTGCAAATTCTCGGCAAAACGTCCCAATGCAATTCCATCGAGCCAACTAAACGATTTTAGGAAAATTAATAAAACAAACAATACCTTTGCACACGAGTATCATAGGTGATTTGAGTCAAATCGTTGAAAAGATTTGGTTCTCCGAACTTTGCATGTTCCTAAAGTCATGATTTTGATGCCAAAATTCTGATTACCTTATTTGCGTTGTATCTCTCGGTTTTCTCGAGGCTTTCGATAAATTCAAGCACCTTATAGTATTTGCTTCGACCATATACCTAAAATTAGATATTTAATGTATGAATTCACAAAATAGTACCATAATTGTATGAACGCCATCTTCTGATTCGGATCTCTTAATGGGCACATTACATTCGAGTTTTGCGGATCGTTTGCGAAACTTGGATTCTCCTAAAAAGTTTGACATGATTGGTAAATCATTGGCAAATTAAAACTACCGCTTGTAGGCGAAGGAGTTGGATCTGGTTGTTTAGAGTGTCGTTTCTCCACAGTTGAAGTTCCTGGAAATTCTTTATTTGCAAATTTTTTATCTACTATCATACCAGGCTGAGGATCCAAAGCAGCTTTTTCCTTGATTTCTTTTTGAGCATCTCGCGACGGATTGGCACACGAGCGAAGACAAAAAAAATACGTCAAAGACGGAAGATTGGGACTAAAAAAGCAAAAATTGTGTACTGGCTAACGCAATCTTACCCAGAAATCTCAAATACAAGTGAAATGGGTCGACGCTTGATGATACTGCAAGAGGTCCAGCATTTAAACTAAACAAAAAAAATTGTATATGTATGGTCCTTTCAAAAACCTTGAGATTGATATTATCCGTGAGAGGCATGCGCAAATCATACATGAGTGCGCCATCCCCATACTCCAGCCCACTACGATCCTCGGTTTGCACAAAATGATTTTTGCGATAATCCGAGTCTAAAAGGTGGTAAAAAAGATCTTTAACCTAGCTACAGCACTTACGATCTTTATTAACGTGATTTGGACAGCGTTCAACAGGCTGTCCTTTCATAGTTGGCTCCTAAAATTTTCAATCCATATCTAGAATATTTACTCTAAGAATGTTCTTTTTAAAACAACTCACATCGTATTGAACAAAAATTCGTAACATTGTGTTGTGGTTAGCATACTCCTGTGGGTATGTCAACTCAAACGGCACGTCCACGTCGATTTTCGTGAAAAGTGTCTTCTCGAGGACCTATTATTAAAAGTTCGAATCGTTTAGAACGTTTTAATACCAAATAGTCGACATTCTTCGACGTTTTCTTCTGTTCTGGAATTCCGACATAAAAATGAGGCCTAGAAAAAATGACTTAGAATCTCAAAATGGCTTCCTACCATGCGTTCATCCCGTAAGGGTCGGCATCTTGGAAAAACACTTCTTCTTGAATAAATTGCTAAAGTGAACTATTGGCCTAGTATTCATTTGAATGAACTTACTCCACCATCTTTCACATAATATTGGTTTTCAACTTGAATTTGGCTAATAATCGGTTCGCTTTTTATTGCATGTTGCAAACGCGTAGAAGAACGAGTGCGCTAAACAAAAACGAATTTATTTAAAAAAAAATAATGATGCTTTTTAAAAAATACCCGAGTGAAGAGATGTTCCTCAGAAAGTATGATAGCTGCATCATTCGATAAATCTGACACTCCATCAAAGGCGCCCAACAATGATCTCTGAATTCACAAAAGATTACGATTTCACATGACTCACACCTGGCTTGCTGTGAATTCTTCGGCATTTCCATTAACCTAAACAATAAATTCAGAGTATAATCGATAAATCTACTAAACTGGCTGACTGAGATCTTGAAAAAGGTCTCCGACATCCCTTTTTACGACCAAATTTGGAAGAGGATCTTGTGGACCAGTGAGAAGCATTGATTTCGCCTATTTTTGAGTTAATTCTATACCCAGTAAACGCATAAAAAAAACCTGCCTGTCGGTAACATCGCCATCCAATGTTGGTGTGTCTTTCATTTCTTTGAAATCGGTACCAGGTTGCACAGTGTAGTAGAGCTAAAAGAAGCCACCGTTAACAAACAAATAAGCAGATTTGCTTTTGCAAATTGAAATTCTTATAAAAAAGGCTTTTGTTTAAAACCGTGCAACAACGATGCTCAACGGAGAAAAAAGCACAAATTTTTGGCAAGCACCCCAGTCGAAAACCGCAGAAATGCGGCAAAAAGAATCGATTTTTGGCCACTCAAACAGTCTTTCTTTGAAGTTTTTCATACGACGTATTGATAAAGAAAGCAACAAAGAATGCATTTAGCAAGATCTACTAATGCTCGTTCAAAGATTTTAAATTCTGTGAGTTTAAAGAACTTTTGCTTACTATATTGTATATTCGAAACTTGTTCTCTACAATTACGAATTGGCTTAAAAGCGCAACAGTTAACCCTCAGCGTTATATCACTTTATAAAATACGCTTGGAAAGCATAAACATCTACACAGATTATCTATATGTTGGTATGATGCAAACATAAAATTTTCTGGATTAATGCCTTGATATAAAAACTATCTATAACATCAAGCGCCAGAACAGGGCGTGTCAACAAGAAAGAAGCGCTCTATCTACCGTAGACACGCGATTTTCCGAAAAAACTTTCGAAAAATTTTCTCTCAAGCTAATGGCTCAAGTTTTGTTTCCATTTTAAACCCGATTAATACTTTAAACGTTTACAAACCTGTCTCGTGTATGTTGTTTTCAGCATTGAATCTTTAATTTCCTCCTCTTCTTCCATCGTTTGCTAAATCAGAGTGTGAAGATGCTGTAAGATTATTAAGATATTATAATGCTGAACAATAAGAAATAAAAAAATATACGGTACAAACTCGAAAAATCTTTGATGAACTTTGGTTAAGTAAAGGCTTAAGCAAATAAAGATATTCAAGCCATTTACTGAAACTTTAATCTGCCTAGCTGAGGAAAAACTCTTGGTTTTTCAGTTGCTCTTTTACTTTTCAAAAACTTACTTTTTCAAAAAATACTTTTTCAGGGTTTTTTCTTACCAAATTGTCTTTTTTTTAAAGTTTTACCTTTTTACTTACGATCTACCATTGTTAATGCTTGATTTCTTCAGGTAAAATAATGGATGACGATGATGGCCGAGAGGAGTTTGCGATCAACGACACCGATTTGGATTTTGCGATGAATCCGGGGAGGAATAGACGTCATCAAACAAAAGAGCAGGCAGCACTTGGCTTGTTTTGAATGAAAGCTTTAGTTTATTGGAATATTTTAGGCATTTGGGCTGACGACGATAGCGATGATGATGGAAGTGCTCGACCATCGTTTGGAAGGTTTGTATACCTGTGATAGATACTGAGATGATGTTGCTTTAGAAAACGACCAAATTACAACACACCGGTAAATTTTGTGAGCGGCGGCGTAGCAGTTGGAAATAAAGTAGTGGATGGAGCTGAAGATCAAAAACCTGGCACATCGAAAGAAGAGGTTGGTCTGGTTGGAGTTTTTGAAAATTACAACTTTTAGGAGGCTCCGATTGAAATCAACTTTAAACGTGCAAAGCCGGAGTCAAAGAAGCAGCAACAACGACCACAAATGGGAGCAAATGTTTTTGCTGGTTGGTTTGCTTTTTAGAGTAAAAGGTCATTTCTTTAGGGATGCGCACGTCAGCTTCAAAGGCCACAGTTGATGATGCTACAATGGAAAAATGGCTTTTTTCTAGCGGAAAAGGAGATAAAATTATGAACATGATGAAGGTTTGGTTATACCTAGCCTATAGAAATTATCAGACATAATGGGCGAACTGATTACCTAGCTCTGTTCAGGGTATGGGTTGGTCACTTGGCGAAGGACTCGGAAAAGAAAGACAAGGAATTGTCGAGCCAATTCAAACCAAACTTCGACCAGGAAGAGGAGCCGTTGGGGCATATGGTAAAGAGGTGAATTCATCAGGCCCTCGATTTGGAGGTGGAGACTTTATTGACTTCTTGTTTGTAACAATTTTGTTTTGTTTGTTTTTTAAAGCTGCAACGTATAGTTGGTATTATTGACCTAAGTTAGTGTTTTAGAAACTGCGGCTGACGCTCAGAAACGGCTTGCAGGGGAGAAAGTAGATGACAAGCAGCCACAAGCACAAACAATACCTAAAGGTTCCTGGAAAAAGTCGGCGAAGGTGCAGTTCATTTTTTGGTTTCTTTAAAGAAATTTTTGTTGTTTAGATTAAAACGGTGTACAAGACGATGGATGATGTGATAAAAGAAGGTGGTGGACCCGTTCGAGTTTTCAGAGGAACTGGTGTTTCGAAGGTGAACGTGTGCTATTTACAAAGTAAAGTATTTCTTTAGGTCATCGATATGACAGGACCCGAGCAAAGGGTTTATAGTGGTTATGATGCATTTTCATTGAAGACAAAGTAAGATATTAGCCAAAAAAAAATATAATATTTTATTAGGGTTGAAATCGACGAACCACGGGAGACGTTTGACGTTCCAGAGCTCTCTCACAATATCAACCTTCTCCTGGATCTTACCGAAGAAGATATCAGGCGGACTAATCATCAGCTTGGCGTTTTGAAAGATCAAACAATCGCTCTGGAGCATGATTATCAGCGCGCTAAGGAAGAAGGGGACAAGGCCGAAAATGAATACTCAAGGATGAAGCAGATCTATGAATTACTTTCTAAGTATGTTTTTAGTGAATTTTACATATATCTAGTTTGCTTTAGTTTTTCCGAGAAAAAAAGTCCTTCAATGAACGAGTGTCAAGCACTATTCAATCGACTTCGCACAGAATTTCCCATCGAGTATCAACTTCTTCATTTAGAGGGCGCAGCAATTCCGATTGTGTTACCACTGGTAAGCTTTTACTGATTGCTTAAAAGGGAACAAATTCATTTTAGATAGTTTCGTTCTTCGCTCGTTGGAGGCCATTAGACCCGGACCATTCAATTTATGGAATCGATTTGATGAGAGAATGGAAAGATGTAAAAGTTTTTAATATAGAATTTTGTTAGTTTTGTTCTAGGTACTTCGTGAGACGGATACGAGAATGTTTGCGACTCAAGCAGCTACTTTTGACAAGTTACCAGCGTTTGATCGCCTATTGTGGGATGGATGGATGCCTTCCATAAGGCGCGCGGTCCTTCACTGGAACCCAAGAACCGAGGCAAGGGCTTTTGCTATAAAAAAATACGTTAATGCACTATTACATGGCTCTTGTAGGTTTTATACGAACAAGAGTAAAAATATGGTGCTAAATAAACGTGAGATTTCATACTCATCTTTTTATCTAAAGCCGAGTATTTCACGCTCACAACATTTTGTTCTAGAATTGCAGGAACATGCTTAGGGAGTTTCCTTGCTCAACACTATCAACTTTTAGGTAAGACAACTGATCCACGTGATTCAAACATGGTTGCCGCTTTTGCCAAATTGGATGAAAGAAAATATACTAGACAGGGTATTGCATTTTAATAATTCTATGTCCAAACTTTTATTTTAGGTTATTGTGCCAAAAATCGAGGCTGAGGTCGAGCAGTGGAATCCTTTAAAAGACGAAGGTATAACATTACAAAACTTGCGTCTTGTACTATTTATTTTAGTGCCAGTTCACTTGTGGATATTGCCTTGGCTCGATATCATGGGAGATCGACTCGTCCCAGTGTTTTCTCCAATCAGACAGGTAACTTTAAAATTTGTGGTTAGATCAGGGTCAATTTTAGCACCTGGCGAAAGCACTCCGATTGTGGAATCCACTCGATCAAGGGTATTTATTTTTAACTTTGTGGCACTATTACATGGCTTTTGTAAACTGAATGTTAACAAAAGTAAAAATGTAGTGCTAAATTGACTGTGAGATTTCATACTCGTTTGTTATTACCAAAGAAATGAGTATTTCACGCTCAGAACACTTTGCAACATAAACATCACTTTAAAACTGTGCTAAATGTTGACTTTAGAGCCCTTGTAATGTTACGACCGTGGAAAGGAGTTTGGACACAAGCTACGATGTCGGCCTTTTGTAGTACGGTAAGTCCAAATAAATAAAGTAGAGTACCATAAAGTAAACTTTAGAACATCATCCCGGCGCTCGATAAATGTCTCGCCAACGTGAATTTGGATCCGACTACAAACAAACTGTAAGCCTTGTTGGCCAGACTCTTCACATCCATTTTAGATGCCCAGAGTTTGATGCTGTTTTGAACTGGCGCGAAATTATCAACGAGGACATGATAGTGAATGTGCTGACAAGAAATTTCTTCCCTAGAGTATGTGAACTTCCATAAGTTGAGCAAACCCGTACTTTTAGTGGTATGCGCAAATTTGCGCCTGGCTGGACAGTTCTCCCGGAAATCCGGCAGTGGTAAATGATGTATCGAGATGGTACAAGGATTGGAAAGAGCGGGTTCCTTTCGATCTGGTGAAGCGGTTTCCGGTGCTAGAAAGTAAGCACTTTGTACGTAAAGTATAAATACCTACATTTTAGATGAAATGAAACGAGCCATGATTGCGATTCATAACTCATCACAAGGAAGAATCATTGGAGCTGGCACACCGCTACAAGTTTGTAGTTTTTAAAAGAAAAAGTTGAACAAAATTTAGCCTGTCTTGTCTAATGTACCGCCGCCTCCTCCACCACCGCCCAGACCCCAACACATTCCTCCCCCACAACCGTAATTTATGCTTATTAAACAACGCTGACTCTGGATTTAGTGCTGTTCAACTAACAATTCGTGAAACGTTGGAGCGAGAAGCCGGTCACCATGGACTCACATTTGTTCCACAAACTAATCGGCTACGCGATGGGAATCAAGTAAGTTGTCTGGAAATTTTACTCTCGAAACGATGAAAATTTAGGTGTTTTGGTTTGGATCTCAATCCGTTTATGTTTGTGCTGGAGTGATTTATCATTACGATACAACAAATTTTGACTGGTGAGCATTTTTAAAATCGATTGCCCATTACGTGGTTTGTTCAGGTATCCAATCACAATTTCGCGCCTTCTTCAATACAACGGAATCTAATGAACGCTAAAAAAACTTGTCAAGTTGTTTGGTAATCGGGTACTTTAAATCTATTATTGTGTGAATAAAGTATGTCTGTTTATTATCTAATCACTATTCATTCTGAACACAAGCTTTTGATAATGAAAATACAACACGTAAATTTCCTATTTTATTTCATAGTCTAGCTGTCGTTGGCGTAGTCGGCTGGGATCTTTCTGTTGGCCTAAAAAGTGCTGAATGGATCAATTTTCAAAATGTAGTAAAAAAACCAACTAATGGTATATTCATAGCACTTACATCCCAGTTCGACTTGTTAGCCCAATCGTAGATGTAATATCCGATAAACACCTGCGGAAGGTAGTAAGGTCCATTTCGAACAATGTAGTTTTTGAAAACCTAAAAAACTTTACAACGTTTACATCACACAATTGTGAAAAGCCGACGCACATTAATGAAGGCCTGTTTTGCAAATCCATGAGTAACTGATTGATTGTTTGGGGAGAGCGACATCCGATACTCTCCATACATCTAAACAGAATTATAGAAAGCTCTACCCTTAAGCACAGACCTTTCCCAAGTTGCCAAAATGGCGGCCGCCGCGCACAAGAGAGGTTACACGCATTTCCTAAAACAGAAATGCTGTCCCACTTAATTGCAATCAATTTTCACGTAAAATTGAGATAGCTAGATAAGTTGAAAGCAACAAATAAATTCAGTAAAACAAAAAATCTAACTGTTTATTCATACAACGCCTAATAGAAATATACACCGTGCAGACATGTAATAATAGAGCAGCCGAATTAGGTTGACTTGGCGTAACAATCAAATCTAAAAGTTGAAAAGCAATGCCTTTTAAAACTTCAACAAACCTTTCAAAATATACAAATTCTTGAGTCTCTTGCTGAGTTTTCAATTCGGTATTTTTGCTTCGGCTCCATTCGGCTCCAAAACCAGGCGTAGGAGCTTGAAGACCAAAGTTCTCACCGGGACCCTTTGAGTAAGCTTCAGCAGGCCTAAAAACGATACATCACCCATTAAAATTTAGTTTGACAAACTTACGCTAGCGGTTCTCCAGTAGTCTTTGCAAAGCTTGGGTTCGCTTCAGTTGAATATAGGGCTGGAGGAGGTAAAACCGAACGACGACCATCACGATCCAAGTAGTAATTGGCAGCAAGTTTGTTGTGAACGCCTGAATAGAACTAAAATTAGTACCAACACAGCCAAATCTAACCTCCTGGCAAATTCACGGGTTCAGTGGTACGAGCCGATTGGGTGTTTGGATATCGAGATGGGTTGTGATAAACGGACTAAAGTAATGAAATGAATATGCTGTTTTGCCACAAAACTTATACAGGATGCGACGAAAGTTCTGTCCTTTTTAAAATTCTCTTTAATTGAATTCTCTGATAAGTGTTCATAGCCAAAAAGATAGCCAATTTTTCACAGAATAGAAATCTTATTACCATTTTTAAATAGCTCCTTTAAATTTTGAGTTATCACAATTTGTGTGAGCTCTGCGGTCGAGCCAGTTATTAGTATTATCAGTATCAAAAAAAATCTATTAATCTTAGATCTCAGGCGACTAAAGTCTGCCAAAAAAATTTGTTTATCAGTTCCAAACTGAAACTACAAAAACAGTCAATAAGTTTGTAATTTTTATATAAGAACTTTTGCAATGAAAAAGCACAAAAATATGTGCGCCCATAGAGACTTTTTTCGAAGAGTATAGAATAGCGATAACTCAAAATCTAAAGGAGATATTTAAAAACGGTAATAAGACTTAAATTCTGTGAAAGATTGGCTATCTTTTGGCTATAAACACTTCGAAAATAAAATCAACCAGGAGCGTTTAGGGAGAATTCTAAAAAAGACAACTTTCGCCACATTTTATAGCACCTTTGCAATGACGAATTTTAGATTAAATGAAACAAGCTCTAGGCTCAGCTTTAAAATGAACGATTAAATACAAAAACACCTACTTTTCCGTCAGCTCTAGGGACACCGGTGGGTGGAGTGATCTTCTGACGGTCGACAGCCAACAATTTGTTCCTCAACCAACTGAAGAAAGGAGTCTGCGTTCGATTCTGTACAGTGGCATCGGCTATTTTCTTCGCATAGCTCATCTAAATTTGCACATGAAAGACGATAATAAAAAGACTAGACTGGTAAAGTAAAGCCGAGAAAAACTAAAGCTTATACTTGACAAGCAAAATAAAGATTGCCTTTCCATTTTAAAAAAATTAACCGCGACGCGGACGAGTTTTTTGCAATTTTGAACGTCGTGCTCCTATTGACGCTCGAAGGCGACAAAACATTTAAATAGCCCCGGGCATTGTTTTGTTTTCAAAACTTTCACATATGTGGAATAACAGGGTTAGAATTTTTATTTCCAATTTTATCTTTTATTTTCCTCGTGCATTTATCTATTCGTTGATAAAGTTTGTTAATTTTAGCCACGCGCAAAAGCAATGAATATTGGACGACCAATGCGATCGGTGAGTTTATCAGCTTTGATGTACCTAAGTTTATTTGTAGTTTTTGAGCTAGTGGGTAAACTGTTAACCACAGTGTGATAAAAAGTAATCTGTCTTTTGGTGTAATGACTAAAAAGTCTTTTTTAGAGCTCCTTCAGAAGTCAGGAAAACAGAGCCAATATCATCGAGGATAAAAATGTGGCTCAGAAATCGGCCGACAAGGTTTTTTGATTTTTGTTAATATTTGTAATAACGTTTTTTAGCTTATCTATCCGGTGAAACAAACACGCGGATTGGGACTTGGAGGGCATCAGAAGAATGAGGAGAGGAAGACGAGCGCAACCGTTGACCAGTCGATGAATTCAGGTTCAGCTGCCGAACTACTCCAATACAATGAGGTACACGTTTACTAGTTAAAGTCTAATTTTTGATTTTTTTAGAAAGCATTTCACCACGTGTATCATCCAGAGATCAATGGACCCGAACGCGAGCTGTCTTGTGTCGACTACTCAGATGACGTTTTCACCTACTTGCAGGCAATCGAGAAGAAGTTCTCAATCAACGAGGGATACCTAAATGGAAAGTCTACGACAGGAAAGATGCGAGCCATATTGGTTGATTGGATTGTTCAGGTGAGTTAAGGTTTTCACTAGTTGAAGGGCTCTCTATAAAAGGGTATATTTAAAGTTACACCAGTATGGGAGCACTCAATCTCATCTCAATAGTTTCTATTTTAGGTTCATCACCGACTGAGTCTTCTTCCGGAAACACTATCACTCGCCATTTACGTGCTCGATGCTTACCTCACTGCCAAAGATGTTCCCAAGACGAGCCTCCAATTGACGGCTTTGACTTCGGTCTTCATAGCAGCTAAATACGAGGTGGGGATAACTTTGCAAGGAACTAGTATTTTTTTTATTTAGGAGATGTATACTCCGGATATTAGAGAATTCGAAGTCATTGGTGATGGACAATTCTCAAAGCGTGATATCTTAAGTCTGGAGCCAAGAATGCTGATGGTGCTCGAATGCTGTCTTTATCGCCCTGCACATATCACTTTCTTGCGATTCCACTCTTCACGATTTTGCCTTCCCGAAGAGGTGCACAAGCGAGCACAGTTCTTCATTGAGGTACTTTAGAAACCATAAACAATGATTTTTTTTGTTTTAGATTTGCATGCAGTATTATCAGCTTTGCCATCTTGCCCCATCACACATGGTGTTGATTGCAATCTCTCTTGCAACTGCAATGGACGGTTACGAGGTCGACATGGACGAGTTGCTCAAGCACAGTGACCTCAAGAAAACACAAATGGAGAACTGGCGTGCTCATCTCGCTTATGCTATCAGCGCAAACCACGAGCATACTCGACTCAAGGGCATTTCAACGAAGTACGTTTTGAGCTACAGGAATCTTAAATATATCTGCAATTTAACAAGCTTTCTTTTAGGTATGCATCAAGCCGTTACTTGCGTAGTTCGGATCTGTCAATTGAGAAACGTCAATGGTTGGAGAAGCAATTCGAGCGCGCTTAGGGATCGATCTCCAGTTTCTGTTTGTCGCCATTTATGATTGCTCACTATAATTTAACGTGTATTTGCCTTGTTTATTTATCCAACATGTATTGATTGTCGTATTTTGCTCTCTTCGATCTCTATAAATTCCAGGTAAAAGCTGTCATTCACCTTAATACATATTTGAGATTGTTTGTATAATTTATTGTTTCTTTAGTTGCGGGGATGTACTTTCACTTGTCTCTGTCTTTCCGATATTATAGTTCAAGCAATAAAGTTGGTTTTGTTACCGTTTCAATTTTCGATGAATTGCAGGACACAAAACCATCTCTGAGAGTATTGCTGCGTGTGTTTTATGATTGTATTACTGGATGAATTTAGATATGGCTAATGCGGTCACTTCTCGACATGTGGAGAGATGGCTCGGGAAAATATTGCAGGTGTCATCTTTAAAATATAGAATGAGAATGAGAATGATTTTTCCCTTTCAATCAAGTTATCGCAATTTTTTTTGCAGATTGAGCTTGTCGATGGACGATTAATACAAGGGCGATTTGTCTGTACGGACAATCATCCAAACATTATTCTCGCAGGGTAAGCCACTGTATTAATTAAAAACTCGAATTTCCCGAATCAGTAACTATTTTGGTATGCGTGCAATTACAACCCTGGTGGATAACTGAGTAATTGTAAACAAAATTTCAGAGCAGAGGAGCGATGGTCCGAACAAGAAAGCTCATCCGAAGAAATAAGCCCATCCGAGGAAGAAATCCCATCCCCGGACGATGGCCCACGACAGATCGGTCTCGTCATGATCGCCAGGGAACAGTTAGTAGCTATTCGGCTGCTCGATCAAACCGTTGACGATACCGCCGGAATCATTTAATTAAGACATCCAATTGAATGTTCTCACGGGTTTAAATATTTGCCTAGTGCATTTAGAGCAATAAATATATGTGGCTATTAAATGAATCCCGAGAATATCCGGCACAAACACGAAAACAACTCCCAACTTTGGGAAAAGTTCACTTTGCATTCAAATATTAGGTTGGCAAGTTATAAACGATCCTTTTTGGGTAATGTGTTTTCTGAAAAAACGGCTTATCCAATCAAAAAAACGGTTTTCTTGATTCAAAAGCCCTATACTTAATCTAAAAAAATTTCAGAACAATCCAATCTTCGGAAGGTTGATTTTCAAATTAGGCTCAAAATGCACTTTTGTGCTAATTCAATCCATTTTCGTTTGAATTTAAGCAAGATTAAAAAAAATGAAAGAGAACGGTTTGATCGATTGGATTGTTCTGAAATTTTGGGAAACTATGTAATCGATGAAGCGTTTTATTTTAAAAAGTATGCAATCACTCAAAAATATAATAGCTCATGAATGCTAGAACTACTAACTTGCCAACCTAATCATTAGCATATTAGTCTCAATTTATTAACAGAAATTTCTATTCAAATCTTTATTCTTTTCGACGATTCGCATACAGTCATGTGCAAAAGTCTTTTCACATTCAATTTTCTAAAAAGTCTCATCAATTTTCTTTGAGAAAGACGCTCAAAAGGATGCCGTCAAAAGTCTCGTCAATTGCCCGGAGCCTTGGGTAAAGTTTTCTTATTTTTCTTTTTCTTATCATTCGTTTTTTATTTAGAAAAACTTCACTCTCCAAGAAGAGATTCGCAAGCGCTGCCTTGTCAACGATCCAAACAAAAGGATTCACTTTGCTGAAATTGTTACAGCGATGAAACCAGTATGTTATTTGGTGGATTTTGTATTATGTTTGCGGTTCAGTTTCCGGAAATCGATTAGCGCAATCCCAAGATTGACACGAAGAGTTTCTGGTGATGCTTGCTTCTGAATAATTTATAGTTTAGTGTTTTAGAATATTATCAGCTTTGCCATCTTGCCCCATCACACATGGTGTTGATTGCAATCTCTCTTGCAACTGCAATGGACGGTTACGAGGTCGACATGGACGAGTTGCTCAAACACAGTGACCTCAAGAAAACACAAATGGAGAACTGGTGTGCTCATCTCGCTTATGCTATCAGCACAAACCACGAGCATACTCGACTCAAGGGCATTTCAACGAAGTACGTTTTGAGCTAGGGAGCATATGCTTGCTTCATATGCTCCCTAGCTTCTGAATAATTTATAGTTTAAAGTGTTTTAGAATATTATTCAATGTGTTAATAAAGGGTTAAATGGCTTTCTGGATTTACCTTTGAACAGTTTATCTACTTTTAAATAATTTCTTTGGACGAGCATGGTGTTTTAGGCTTGACGTAAAAAGTAGGCACAAAAATTGAAAGAGAAATAGGAAACAGGCGATGACAAAGGAGAGTTCAATGTTTGAGGGTTTGTTGGGATCATGACTGAAAAGTGAGCTCTCGATGTTTTTCGTTTCCAATTGTAGGGTTGATACGTCTTGTACCTGAAGATTTATGGATTTAGCCTCTGAAATTGTAAGTCTCACCGAAAATGGAATAAAGCCGGCTGAATATAAAGCATGAGTTCCGCGAATTCGAGCACAATTTGAAACAGTGTAGATCGGGATCTGAACTTGTTTTCATTCAATTTTCAACTTCTTCTAAAAGATGCCCCGAATCCGGACGATATGGTTTCGTTTCTTTTCTGTAAAAACGGATTACGGTAGCATCGTAATCCGTTGACTGAAAAGTGTCTTTTTTGATGGCGATTTCACTTTAAATGTTTTAGATTTAACCCTTATTAACAAGTTAAGTCCTGTTAACTTAAGACCACGCCCACAAAGCCCAAAGCCTTTATAAGCAGGGCTAAAAAGAGAAAAAAAACATCGTTAATTCGACAAAAATTGGGCTGCAAGAATTGGAATCAACGCCTTGAGGGACGTGACTCTGCTGGAGTTCAGTGCAAAGCTCCTCCTTTCAGACAATCAGCTTTAAGAATAGCTGATGAGCTTCAGACTCCTTGACAAAGCTCGACCCTGCCCTTCCTGCCAAAAAAGCTGTATCGCCACCCATCGGGACAAAGGGCAAAATCGGAGTGCAAGCGACGAGCCTGTCGGCAGCCAAGAAAACAACATAGGATCAGCTTCTACGTCGACACCTTCTTTGCAACAACTCATTTGCCTCCAAAGAAGGTCATCCATCTCACCTATCTCATCCATGTTCGGCAACTATGAAGATATCGTTAGAGAGGTGGATATCGGCAATAGCATGACCGGCCTTTAATAATGGACACAATGGATCCGTGATGTGTTCTCGCAATGGTTCCTGCTTCATCCTTGTACTATTGATGATCCGGTCTTGACTCGAGATCGACGAAACGTACAACAGAGGCTGAATCCCTGGTCAAAGACGGATTTGGATGCTCGAGGAAACGAAAGGGGCTCCGGACTCGGCTTCGTTCAGCTTGTGGCCAACCGAGACGCCAACACGCTGCTACCGATCATCCAGCAACACATGCGACCAGGCTCTACAATTTATTCGGACCTCTGGAGAGCCTACACCAACATCTCGTTGCTTCCTCAAGTGTATCGTCATTGGGCAGTCAAGACCAGAGAAACTTTATCAATCCCAACAATGGCGCTCACACTCAGCTCATCGCTCATCGCTTCAAAAAGACGACCAAACGGCGCCATGGCATCAATGTTCGCACCAATGTTCGATACTCGGATTTCCTGTAGTTCATGTGTGCGTAAGGAGTTTGGTCAAGATCCGTTCTTCAACTTCTGGTAGTAAGTGCATGCTGTGTATCCTTGCGAATCATGAGCCCTCACTAAACAAACCCAACAGCCTTCTTTAGCACCACAAACACTTATTAACCAAATTTGCATTTAAAGCGCAAAAAATTTCAAATCCGTGTTCAGCGACCTCGATTACCTCCGGAGAAGTGAAAAAATCAGAAATATAGGTGCCAACTCACAAAGTATCGAAAATTGGTCTCTCTATCTTACCTTTACCCACCCCTTCCCCTTACCTCTTTGATCTTTGCTGCAAGAATGTTATGCTTGTCGCAGTCGAAAATGAGCTCTTTCGAGAGATTCCCTTGCATATTTTTGCCAAACCAAATATGAAGTTGACTATTTTGAAAGAAGAGAATCTCGAGGAAAGGCTAAAATCAATGTGTTTTTATTTTGTTTTGTTTTTTTAAGCCTACATTTGCAATCAAAAAAGTTGGAGTGAATGAGCGGAGGGTTTTGAAGAGTTTCCCTTGATCTTCCGATCGAATAAGAAGGCCTGATGAGAGAACGGAGGCTAGCAAGAGGAAACCTGCAATGATAAACTTCATTTCTGGATAGTCAAGTCAATACGTGGACCTGAACAATGAACAATGACAATGAACTTTCTGTTTTTCAACTTTTAACAAATAGTTTTTGTGTGAAAGCCATGTACGCTTTAGAAAACAAATAGATTGCCTTAAAAATATTGTCAATTCTATCAAGCTCTTTAAAGTGCAAGCTGAGCCTGAGCCTAAGCCTGAGCCTGAGCCTAAGCCTGAGCCTGAGCCTAAGCCTGAGCCTGAGCCTGAGCATGAGCCTAAGCCTGAGCCTGAGCCTAAGCCTGAGCCTAAGCTCTTTAAACTGGCCTACCAAATAAGATTGATGCTGGAAGTCTTTTCTCCATCAAATACGCGAGATTCCATGCGAGAAGACGCCAAAATTCGAGATGTACAGTGAGAAGGATTGGAAGGATCAATTGATGAAGCGTTGATTCGAGGTCCAGAAGGATTAGAGGATCCTAGAAAGGGGTAAATTGAGTATCCTTTGCAAGTATTTAAGTTATAATCAATGTTTCGGTGAGATTTTCTTATTAACTCACGAGAGTTCCACTCAATAGTAGAGCCGGAAACGATGATGAGAAACCAGTGACCATGGCGAGAGGAATGTCGAAAAGAAACTTGAATAAATGATGATTTAAAGAAGAAATCGACTACCCCCACTTTAATGAAAACATTGATTTGAGCGCTGAAAAGACGATTGTGAAGGTCTTCCGATGTGAAATCGCGCTCTTTGTGCACTAAAATGGTTACGGGAAAAGATTGTGAGTGAGCCAGTCAATCGTGGGCCCAAAAGTGAGCCAGTCAATCGTGGGCCCAAAAGTGAGCCAGTCAATCGTGGGCCCAAAAGTGAGCCAGTCAATCGTGGGCCCAAAAGTGAGCCAGTCGATCGGTATTGGATCGATTTTCTATTGAATATTGAATTAAAAGAGTTTTAAAAGTCTCAACTGCAACCATGCATTGCTTTGAGTTTTGAACGAAACTTAAATCTTGATTTAGTTCCTTTCTCACCCGTTGATATATTGATCCACCCAATGAACAGCGTCATAAAGCACAGCATCGAGCCAACGAAACCAAAACGATCCTCGATCCCACCCCGTTTATCACTTTTTCTGGATAATTCTTAGAAATTTGTTTTTTCTGTTTTTTTACAAATCGTAAAAGATTAGCCCAAAAATTGTTGAGATGAATAAAGCGGAGAGCGGCTCACGCAAATAGAGGAATGGAGAGTTCAGGAAAATCCAGTGATTTCGTCTAGAAATTGAATAGATTACTTATTATAAGAAGCAACTATAATTATTTATTATTTATTATTTATTATTATTATTATTTATTTATTACTTATTAGTTATTTATTAGTTATTTATTTATTATTTCTTTTAAATTTGGATGTGTGTTCACTTCATAACTCGAGTCCTAGTGGGATTTCGGTCTGATTTTTTGGGACAATATGTAACCGACTATGGCGATTTTGCCTGTAAAATCAAAATCAGAAGTCTGAACTGTTTTAAGCTGTTCTTTAACAGAAAAACTGGATTTGTTCGTTACAAAGATCGCCGAATTTGACGACGAGATCAAAGGTCGTCTAAGGGTACTTTAAAAAATGAATTTCGGGTTCATTTTCTCAGAAAATCTTGAGAGAAATATGGTTATCTTTTTGGCATTCTAAAATAGCTATTTTAGCTATTTTAGGCGGCGGCAAAGATCGGCAAAGATCGGCGGCAAAGATCAAAGGGAATATTGAATAGATTAGGAAATGTTCAATTTTGTTCAATTGTTCAATGTTCAATTTCAGATTCAATTTAACTGCTTTAATCTAGCTATTTTAGAGGACAATTGTGCACAAATCCCAACTTTATATCGTCAACCGATCGCAGGGGTATTTACAGAAATTTGGTGGACTTTAGTCAACTGCTAAGTCAACTGCTAAGTCAGCTGCTAAGTCAACTGCTAAGTCAACCTCTAAGTCAACTGCAGTCAACTGCTAAGTCAACTGCTAAGTTAGCTGCTAAGTCAGCTGCTAAGTCAACTGCTAAGTCAACCTCTAAGTCAACTGCTAAGTCAACCTCTAAGTCAACTGCTAAGTCAACTGCTAAGTTAGCTGCTAAGTCAACTGCTAAGTGATCTTAAGTCAGATAAATTTCTCTACTTGTAAAGGATGAGCATTGTTTGCAGAAAGTTCGCGTCGTTCATCGGCGGGGAAACGTTTTTCACCTGTAATTGCATGGAAAAGACAATATTCGATTTATTAGCTTTGTTAGCTTTGTTAGCTTTGTTAGCCGAAGCTTAGCCAAAGCTTAGCCAAAGCTTAGCCAAAGCTTAGCCAACAATTGAAACAACTCTGCACCCACCGTAGTAGAGATGGGGAAGTCTCAACTTGAACCTAATTCCACCATCGATTTTCCCAGCTCCTTTACCGATTGCTCTGAAATTTTGTCTACAAAAAGAGAATCCCAATTTCTATTTGTGAACAAAATTTGAGAAGAATCTTCAAAGAAATGGCTGAGAAAACGGAGGTGGAATTAGGTTCGGTTTGGAATTTTTCTGTCTATACCGTAGTTTGCATCGACTCGGCTCGCTCTCGTTTCCACAAATCACTCAAAAATCGGATCCTCGCCGTCGATTCTTTCGATGATTCGGCTGAGAGATGATCATGAGTCACTAAGTCAACTAAAGTTCTTTTTTAGTTGAATATTCCGATGATTGTCAAACCATAGTAATCACAGGGATTCTTGAGGGTTGGACAGGGGAAATTGTGTCTCTCGAAATAGGGAATCAAGCGATTTGACGAATCCGCATATAAGAAACGCCCAGATGCGAGAATTGAGGCTAAATGGAGAGGTTGTTCGTGGTTTTGGTTTTGGTGGTTTGGAGGGCTAAATGGAGGTTGTTGGTGTGGTTGTTGGTTGTTGGTGTAAAGGTTGTTGGTGCGGTTGTTGGTGTAAAGGCTGCTGGTGTAAAGGCTGCTGGTGTAAAGGCTGCTGGTGTAAAGGCTGCTGGTGTAAAGGCTGTTGGTGTGGTTGTTGATGTGGTTGTTGGGGTGGTTGTTGGTGTAAAGGTTGTTGGTGTGGTTGTTGGGGTGGTTGTTGGTGTGGTTGTTGGTGTAAAGGTTGTTGGGGTGGTTGTTGGGGTGGTTGTTGGTGTGGTTGTTGGTGTAAAGGTTGTTGGGGTGGTTGTTGGTGTGGTTGTTGGGGTGGTTGTTGGGGTGGTTGTTGGTGTGGTTGTTGGGGTGGTTGTTGGGGTGGTTGTTGGTGTAAAGGTTGTTGGTGTGGTTGTTGGGGTGGTTGTTGGTGTGGTTGTTGGTGTAAAGGTTGTTGGTGTGGTTGTTGGGGTGGTTGTTGGTGTGGTTGTTGGTGTAAAGGTTGTTGGTGTGGTTGTTGGGGTGGTTGTTGGTGTGGTTGTTGGTGTAAAGGTTGTTGGTGTGGTTGTTGGGGTGGTTGTTGGTGTGGTTGTTGGTGTAAAGGTTGTTGGGGTGGTTGTTGGTGTGGTTGTTGGGGTGGTTGTTGGGGTGGTTGTTGGTGTGGTTGTTGGGGTGGTTGTTGGGGTGGTTGTTGGTGTGGTTGTTGGTGCGGTTGTTGGTGTGGTTGTTGGTGTAAAGGTTGTTGGGGTGGTTGTTGGTGTGGTTGTTGGTGTGGTTGTTGGTGTAGTTGTTGAGCACAAATTAGAAACCTTTCTGAAACATCGTGAGAATCTCGATGCTCGGTGGAGAGATTGCCATGAGCACGATTCGATTCAACTTCGTCGCCCAATCTCTACCAAATTCAATCATGAAATATGATTTTTAAAGCAAAAAAAAGAAATAGCAGGTTTATATGCAAATTTTGATTGTTATGCAATAATCATTGTTATGCAACAATAATTGTTGTGCAATAAACACATATGCAACTTGATTTATCATTGCAGACCCTTGTCGAGAGTTTAGCTTTTTTTTGAAGGCACCGATTTTAAAGATATTTTGGTTTAAGCTTATCTGGAATGCACACTAAAATCTGTAGCAATCAGATTTTTGATTTACTGAAAAAAATTCTATGGTCCTGTAAGCTAAGTAAGGAGAGCTCAGAGTCAAATCCAGACCTGCCCAGAGTTTACCCAAGGACTTTTTATGATCCAAAGGCAAGACAACAAGCCAAAGCAGTCTTCCGGTTTCCCTCACCTCAAATAATCGACGATAAACGCGACATCATAGATCTCGAGCTCTTTCGTGATGTTGTCAACGAATAAAATGTCTAAAGGATTTTTGCATTCAAGTCAATTTCTCATTGTCTCGCTTCTTCCTCACTTCCTCGCTTCCTCACTTCCTCACTAACCTGTATCTTTCAAAACAGCGGCCGCCACTTTTACTCGTTGTCTCTCAGCTTCTGTCAATCCACGGATTAATTCATTCTTGTATGGAGACAAGGCAAGTGTTTGGATTAATTGATCAATCTAAAGAATCAATCTAAAGAATCAATCTAAAGGAAAGAAAATGAAATTTCTTACCATATTGTCGACTTTAAACGCGCTGGTGGCTGGTTTTTTGAGAGAGCTCGTGAATTTGAGGTATTGCTTGACGGTCAATTCGAAAGTCGGCTCATCGAGGGAGACATGGGCTGAAAGGGATCACAATCAGCTTTTCAGTTTTACTATATTACTATACTAGTGTGCAATATAGAGTTAATTCTAAGAAAGCTTGGATAATTTGTAGCAAGTAGCAAGTAGCAATCAGCAATCAGCAATCAGCAATTAGTAATCAGCAATTAGTAATCAGTAATCAGCAATCAGCAATCAGTAATCAGCAATCATTAATCAGTAATCAGCAATTAGTAATCAGCAATTAGTAATCATTAATCAGCAATCAGCAATTAGTAATCAGCAATCAGCCTAAGTAATCCTTTTAATCACAAACCACTCCTCCTTGCCAATTGTTTCAACGTGAATGGGTGTCCATTTAGTGAGATCTCTCCTCGGAATCGGCCCTTTTCTTGATGCTTTGATGTGAACAGTTTCAGTAAGGTTCTCACCTCGTGCTCTGAAAGACGAATACCTGACTTAGGTTTACAGTACCAACAATTGTGATAGTTTGGAAAACAATCTTGCCTTTCGTTCAGTCAATCTTTTCAAATCATTAGCAAATCATTAACAAACCATTTGTATACATGATCGCCATCGCCTCACCACCACGAAGATCCAAAGTGATGTCATGGAGAGTGGGGAGAAGTTTGGATGAGCTGCAAATGTTGGAAATGTTATGGATGAATCGATATGGCTTTTATCCTCCCGCAAAAGCTAATTTACATTTAAAAGTTTGCCTTGCATCATCTTGGATTTTATAAAACCGAATCTTTTATTCAAATTTTGGTACTTTCTCGGTGGGGAGCTATGGGTACTACCTACAAGGCTACAAGCCCCATAGTACTACCTACAAGGGAATGATCCGAACTGGCCGCATTTCCTTTTGATTCGCTACGCCGATGAGATACAAACGCCTATCGAACGTGGGGAACACGATAATCTATTCATTTTTTGCCCATTCTCTTCATTTTGGTTCAAAAGAAAAAAAAGCTTGCAAAGTTCGGGCCAGAAATCGCGCCTCCAGGATATATACGCTCTTTCCATTGCGTTTGGGGTAACCGTGTGGTGTAAAGGTAAGTGTGCCGACCCCTAATCGAACTCTCGCTTTTTTTGACCCAAGTTCGGATCCGGTTGCCTAATGTTTTGTGACCCGATCCGGAAAAGACTGCCGATGAGAAAGATCTATCTTATGTGAAAGCCCTGTGCCAGACGACGAGCGATTACGTGGCTGTGCAAAGAACACCTCACGCTCTCTTTACAAAGGAATTTCTTTTGTTCTGTAAACATTGCTCAGATGAGAGATGAAGTCAAAAGTTTGTCCAGGGATTTTCGGGACTTTTGTATCTTCAAGCAAAATCCCTAATTTGTGATGATCTTAAGTCATTTTCCCGTATTTTGGCTAAAAAAAATTTGCTAGGGTATCAACCGATAAGAACTAAAATTTCTTTTCAAATGATAGCTCACCGTAGACAGAATTTGTCTAATTTCGAGCGAAGATCCAACGCAAATGAGAGATGTTTGAGTGAGAGGTGAGGGCCACTGCAAAGAATTATAATCATTTGAGTGACACGGGGAAAAAACAAACGAAAGAATTAAGTGCACTAGGTAGTCGTTTGTTCGAGCACCAAGTACAAGTGGGTTTACAGTAAAGCTAAGGTAGGGAAAGTCTTGAGCTTGATCTTGAGCTTGGGCTTGGGCTTGAGCTTGAGCTTGGGCTTGGGCTTGGGCTTGGGCTTGGGCTTGGGCTTGGGCTTGGGCTTGAGCTTGATCTTGATCTTGATCAGTCTGAACTCAAAGATTGAGTTGCCCAGCGATGGTTTGGATCTTTTGAAACCTTTTCAGCTTTCTAAAACCCACTCTTGAAGTCGATTTCTTGAGATTTCCGACGCTTTCGCATATTTGAGATAATTGAAGCGAGTTGGGCGATGAATTGCCCGAGTTGGGGCATTTGGGAGCTCTTCAATAGGAAAATAGTGAGAGTTGTGTCGAAGTGAGCCAAAAAAGAGATGATTTGATGGATGGAGGCTGAAAGTGATTGTTTATGTGAAAATCCTTATGTTTTAGATAAAATATATTGTATAGATTTGAGATTTGAGAAATTTCTCGCTACTTTTGTATTTCGGACTCGGCGTAGTGAGTTTCCAAAGTTCGCGGCTCGGTGCCGGCTGAGGTGGTTCGCAACGGAGAGTTGCCACTAAAGTTTAACAATAAAAATACATTGTAATATGTTCTATTTAAAATATAGTACAATATTAAAGATATATATTTACAAAGGGAATGAACAGAAGTGAGATTTCGGCATCAAAATGAGCAAAACGCCGAGTACGATGGTGCTTTCGGATTTTGCTAAAAATTCGCTAGCTTTCGAGAAGAACGGCTTTGAAATTTTGCTCAAAAACAAGGCACTATAAAAGAACTTCTTTCGGGCAAAGGATATTGTTTCCTCGTGGTCAATGGGTAGAGTTCTCACCTACCATTCTGGTGACCCTAGTTCCGTCTAGAGTGTGTTCCTTGCAGACAACGCGTTTTCTAAAAAGCGCACGCCAAGGATAAGCTACCGTAACCCTATGCTTTGCATCAGCAAATTTTTCAAAATGCAAATGTACATTAAAATCTTGCGCTCTTTTTTTCTATTACTCTTTCCTTAACTCTATTACTCTTTCCTTAACTCTATTACTCTTTCCTTAACTCTATTACTCTTTCCCTAACTCTATTACTCTTTCCCTAACTCTATTACTCTTTCCCTAACTCTATTACTCTTTCCTTAACTCTATTACTCTTTCCCTAACTCTATTACTCTTTCCCTAACTCTATTACTCTTTCCTTAACTCTATTACTCTTTCCTTAACTCTATTACTCTTTCCCTAACTCTATTACTCTTTCCTTAACTCTATTACTCTTTCCTTAACTCTATTACTCTTTCCCTAACTCTATTACTCTTTCCCTAACTCTATTACTCTTTCCCTAACTCTATTACTCTTTCCTTAACTCTATTACTCTTTCCTTAACTCTATTACTCTTTCCCTAACTCTATTACTCTTTCCTTAACTCTATTACTCTTTCGCTAAAACTTAAAAATTTTTAAATGCTATTTAAAATTAAAGAAAACATTTAAAACGGGAAAAGTTAAGAAACACTATTAAAAAATTATATTATTTACGAATTTACCAGGCCTATTGTCTACATTTGCACTAGAACCATTCCAAAAAAAAATTCCACGCCCTAAAAAACCTAAATCCTTAAATAAAACTATCCATTACTATATTTTAAGAAAAGTTTGCAAATTTTTTTCGCGTGACCTTTATAGCTTTGCTTAAAAAGCGCACCTTTTAGAAAACGCGTTGTCGAAAGTTTGTCGGATCAATTGTCTGACAAAAAAGTTGTCAATGAAAATTTGTCTGACAAATTGTCTGTCAACAAGGAGCACACTCTATAGCTGACAGCAAGGAGATAGCAGGCAGCAATGAGATAGCTGACAGCAAGGAGATAGCAGGCAGCAATGAGATAGCTGACAGCAAGGAGACCATTCTGGTGACCCTAGTTCCGTCCCAGCCATGACTATTTTCTTTGCTTTCTTTTTCCAACTTTTATATGTTTTATGTTTTATATGTCGACTTTTATATTTTTCGAGGGTTACAGGCCTTTTAATGTACGTGTACGACATTATACGTCGATCAATCTGGCTCAATTAGATTAATCAGCAATCAGCAATTAGTAGCAACTGCCAATTATCATCCCTTGAAATATGTTTTTTTAAGAAATTCTATTTCTGATTCTGTCTTCCGAGAGCCTTGATGTTTCGCGCTCAACGAAAAACTATTCTTTCATCATTTTTTTTTTAAAGGAATTCCATCTTTGTTGATTGATTTTTGTGGTTGGTTTTCGTTGGCTTCTAGATTTATGGGGAAAATTGTTGAACAATGACAAAACGCTAAACTTTAAAGTTCTCCTCGAATACATAAAACCCTGAAATACATAAAATAGAAGTTTGGAATAAAAGCGAAAAAAATGGCGCTGGTCGGGGTGGAACCAGGGCCTCAGACTGGTAGACGAGGGCTCTACCAATTAACGACGAGAAGATCTTTCGCCTACCCGACAGAAGCCGTTTTATAGAAGCTTTCCTCGTTTTCAAAGCCGTTTTCAAAGCCGCTTTCAAAGAGATTTCAAAGCCGTTTTTCTCGAAAATTAGCGATCCTTAACAGAATCCGAAATCACCATCGTATTCGCCATCTTCGATAGATATTTGCATCTCATTTTGGTGCCAAAATCTCATGATCACTTTCTCACAATTCCCTTGTTAGATATAAGTAGTTATTTTGTTGATAAACCCATGAAAAATCAACCTGATATCCCAATCAGAACGAATCCTGCGCCCCATCTCGTTCACTTTTTTCAACTTTGGTCGAAACAAAGATTTGGTCACTGAAATTCTTTTAAGATCTTCAATTTCAGTCAATAAAATGGTACAAGTATATTCTTAAATAACAAACAAAAAAATCCCACAGTACTAACGAGCTTTACCTTATTTGATTCTAAATCTATAGCCTGGTACAGTTCATTCATGTGCAGAGTACTGTAGTGTATGCAAGGTGTAACGTTTACTGTTAGAAATTTACTGTTTACTGTTAGATAACCCATCTTTAGGTGGCTTACATAGCGATGGAGCCAACTGGTCAGGTTTACCGCCGTCAGTGCCACCTTTTCCTCACTCATCAAGCGTTTCAGGTAAGAAAATAGTTACATTACTCTATTAAAATAGATTTAGACAGTTACCGTATACCATTTCTATAGTATATCTCAAGTTATACGGTTGTCTAAGTAGAGTTTTAACGAGCTTTACCGTATTTTATTCTAAATCTATAGCCTGGTACAGTTTATTTCTGAACTTTCTTTTAAAACATACATAGATGTATATCGTTTACTCGTCGAAGTCCACGATTTGATTTGTCTGTTTCGATTCGGGAGAACGGTGGCGAACCAGAGAAACCGGGTAGATCCTGAGAATTTGGTGAATTTTAAAATCCGAGAAATGATCCGAGAAATGAATCGATTCTTTTCATATTTCTTTTCTTTTCTTCTTTTCTCGATTTCCTTTTGTGTCTCTTTTGAAGAGTTGTATAATTACTGTGAGTGAATGGAAGAACTCTTCTCCCCACCCATCTCCAACAACCATCCCCCCGTCTCCAACAACCATCCCCCCCGTCTCCAACAACCATCTCCCCCGTCTCCAACAACCATCTCCCCCATCTCCAACTGTGCTTCCATTTACATTTCAATCGAGTTTCTTGGACAAAAAAGTCTCTTGTTTTCTAAAAAACATTTATTTTGAGAAAACTAGTAATCAAAGCGTCAGTAATCAATAGTAATCAAAGCTGATTAAATGTAAATTTAATCAGTCGAATTTTGAGAGAGCTGAGTCTTCTGATTCTGGCTACGAAAATTGGCTAATTGAATAGAAATTATCAGTTTGAAGAGGTAATTTTGAAAAATATTTATCTTTTAGATAGTTTCAATTTTTATTCACCATTTGAGTTGTCCAAAAATCATCATTATTGATCTTCAAATTCTCCATGCTGAGAAGAAAAAGTTGGATTAAAGTTGGATTAAAAACTTGATTAGCAGATTGGCAAAGCAGGCAGATTGGGAAATTCCGTGAAGAAGTTTAGAAACGAAAATTTTGATTAAGCAAGCAAAAAGATTTGAGATCTTGAGAGGTTTGTGGAGGGGTTTTTGGGTTAAATCAAGGATGGAGGATGGAGGAGGGGATTTGGTGGCAATCCTTCTTTCCCTTGAAGGTCGATCGACAATTAGGTCGATTCGATTTGAGTCAAAGAAACAACCGTATGGTGCACCTGTCCTTTGCGCGTTTTTGAGTTATATAGCCTACAAATTTGGACTTTTAAGGTAAATTTTGAGATTTTGAGTAGTACAAATCCAAAAACATTTTAGAGTTCTCTGTGTTTCGAAGCTATTTGTATCTAAATTTTACAAGAGAATGGCTAGAAGTAAGCCAGAGAAGTAAGCGTAAGATTTTGGCATCTGTCAGTCTATCAAAAATGAGATGTTTGATAGGTTGACATCTCATTATGCCAAAATCTCATCGGTGTTTGCTCATTTTGATGCCGAAATCTCACTTCTGATCATTCCCTATATCTTCAATTCTTGTTAGTAATTTTAATATCATAAAAAATCATTTTCAAGTCTTATTTCAATTCAAGTCGATGAGAAAATGCATGGGAAAAGTGGGGGAAAAGATTGGACGAAAGAGTGAACAAAAGATTGGACAAAAGAGTGGACAAAAGATTGGACAAAAGATGGCGATGAAAAATGGAAAGAGGATAAAAAGAAGGAGATGGGTCTCTAGAGAAAAAAGGAATGATTGATTGTTGTTCTTGGTTCTTCTTCTTGAATTCTTGAAAAGATCAGAACATCACAAAGATTTTCTTTAGTCTGAATTGACAGAAGCTCCCTCTAGTCTGTCTCTACCGTAACCTTGTCTCTAGTCTGTCTCTAGTCTGTCTCTACCGTAATCTTGTCTCTAGTCTGTCTCTAGTCTGTCTCTACCGTAATCTTGTCTCTAGTCTGTCTCTAGTCTGTCTCTACCGTAATCTTGTCTCTAGTCTGTCTCTAGTCTGTCTCTACCGTAATCTTGTCTCTAGTCTGTCTCTAGTCTGTCTCTACCGTAATCTTGTCTCTAGTCTGTCTCTCTAGTCTCTAGGAGATTTTTCTCTAACAAACTTTAGTTTCTTTTGTTTAACTTTGAACAATTTCTAAATGAGAAACTCAAAAAGTTAGATCAGTTTCAAAGTTGTAAAGCTTTTTTGCAACTGGTCAACTCGTTTTTGAAAGACTTTTCTTATTCATTTTGCAGAAAGTTCTTGGTAACTTTGTAATAGTTTTCAACGAGATTCAAGGCTATCGAATGACTATAATAGTTTAGTTTAACTTTGAATTTCCACAAAATTACCAGGAAAACAGTAAAGACTAAATTGTAGGCCGAAAATACCGCCTTAAATCGCTTCTGGCTGTCTAAAGCTACTATAGCCTCTATCAGCTTTGTCTGCAAATGTTGCTTACCGTAGCTTGCTATTAGTTGCACCAGCTACTACTGTAGTCAATGCGTGAACCACGTTCAACGTTTGCTCGAAATAGTACGTCTAGGCAAAGGTACCGTGGCTACTTTTCTAGCCATAAATCGATTCTATTGCAATAGTCAGCTATTGCAAAGTACATGGTTTCGGATCGGATCTGATCAGCCCGGAAAACAAATTTTTGGATCAACTCCGATCCGATACAATCCGAAAAATGAAAATTTGGATCAGATCCGACAGAAGCGCCACGCTATTATATGCTAATTTTAGTAATTTTAGTAAAATCAATTCCAAAATGCGAATTTTCTTTTGACAATAAATATTCAATCGATTGACTGAATCTCTTAAACTTACAGGGTCCGAGAAAAGTATTGTCGTTTTTCCAACGATCGAGGTCTTCTTTTTTCGCTTCTCCTTGACGTGTCCTTTCTCTTGTAATTGTTTGGCAAGTCGTTGAACAGTCCTGATGTTGGTTTTGAGCTTTCGCGAGATGGCTGCCCTTCGACTCTCCGGCTTTCAAAAGCATGGCGGTCGCTTCTCGATGAGGGCAAGCTTGCATTCCTAAAAATACACATTGAATGCTATGCACCATTCTAAAGAGGAAAAAAACTGAACAAAATTCATGTTTGACACAACGTAAAAGGATACTTTAAATCGCATAAAAGTTAGTTCAAAAAGACGCGACAATACTTTTCTCGGACCCTGTAGTCGTCGAGGGGCGGAAAGGAAGATTACGGTAGAGACAGACTAGAGACAGACTAGAGACAAGATTACGGTAGAGACAGACTAGAGACAGACTAGAGACAAGATTACGGTAGAGACAGACTAGAGACAGACTAGAGACAAGAACGGAGAGACAGACAGAGACAGACAGAGACAAGATACGAGAGACAGACTAGAGACAGACTAGAGACAAGATACGGAGAGACAGACTAGAGACAGACAGAGACAAGATTACGGTAGAGACAGACTAGAGACAGACTAGAGACAAGATTACGGTAGAGACAGACTAGAGACAAGATTACGGTAGAGACAGACTAGAGACAAGATTACGGTAGAGACAGACTAGAGACAAGATTACGGTAGAGACAGACTAGAGACAAGATTACGGTAGAGACAGACTAGAGACAGACTAGAGACAAGATTACGGTAGAGACAGACTAGAGGGAGCTGGTAAAAACAGCGTCATGTACAAACAGCACCACGGCTATGTGTTTCTCATTCTAATTGGATACAGAATAAAATTATCTACATTTTGCGTACTTTGGGATCACTTAAAACAGAATTGGTGTCGAGAAAAGCTCAGTTAACCTCTTTTTGAGCCCTTTTTTATTGCTTTTTAACATTTTTTCATCCCAGATTTTGTTCTAAACGGCAGAAACAAAAAAAATTCAGCAGATAGCTAATTTTTTTATTTCTATATTCAATGAAAATAAGAAGCACAAATAAAATTAAGCGCAAACGCATTATTTTTGGTCAGCGCTGTTTGCACACGACGCTGTTTTGGCCAGCTCCCGGAAAGAATCAAATCAGCTTTCTATTCGATCCGAAAAATGAATTTTCGGATCAGATCCGTTCCGAATTGTTAATAATTTTTGGTTCATTGATTTAATCATTAAAGCATTTCATTTTTCTTATGTTTTTATGTTTTTTACAATGTTTTCTTCATATTTGCACAAAATAAAGTTTTAAATTTAGAAAGATGTCCACACCTGTCCACCTGTCCACAGCAACTCAATCATTCAACTTCATAAGGACGATATCCGAGCGATTCACATTTTCTAGATGATTGAACGTTTCCAAAAAAGTTGTATCAAGCACTATTGCAAGATTCAAGGAATTGGGAACACTTGTGACTGTCATCTCCGGATCAATTCGATAGATTACTCTGTTGGAGTATCTTAGAGTCCAAAGCTTGTGCAAAAGCCTATTCCAACTTGGATTTGTTGAAGAAATCGATTCAAGAAGCATGGGATGAGCTCAACCTCCAATATCTTCTCGCCATGGTTGACGCCATTGTTGTTGGATTTGTTGGATTTGTTGAAGAAATCGATTCAAGAAGCATGGGATGAGCTCAACCTTCAATACCTTCTCGCCACGGTTGACGCCATTGTTGTTGGATTTGTTGGATTTGTTGAAGAAATCGATTCAAGAAGCATGGGATGAGCTCAACCTTCAATACCTTCTCGCCACGGTTGACGCCATTGTTGTTGGATTTGTTGGATTTGTTGAAGAAATCGATTCAAGAAGCATGGGATAAGCTCAACCTCCAATATTCTCGCCACAG